TGGATGAGGATACCAATGGTGTGCACAGATGAGTGTTGCTTCAGGCAAGGAAACAGGCTCAGGGAGGTGAAATGACTTGTGTAGGACCATATCAGTCAGACCCCACATTCGGAACCCTCAACAGCATCCAAAAATACATCCCACCCAAATCCCACATGTGAGGCACTGGGAAATTCATGCAGGTTTCCTGGCCAACCCCTCTGTCCCCACCCAAGCACAGATTCAAATCCTGGGGGTAATATGTAAGCAGAAACAGATCACAGGACCCCACCTCATTGAGCAAAACTGGGATCCTGACACTTTCTCACCTGGCCAAAGCATTCAGGTCCCAGAAGGATCCAGGTGGGCAAATGCTGAGGCCAGAGAAGGAAGTTTGTCCCAAGAGAAGACCTAAGGGTCCCAGTAACCTGGTTCACCCCCAAGTCCCATCCCCCACCCAGCTGCCACATGCCTGCACATCCCTTCAGTGGCTGGACCACCTCTGACTTTTTCCAGACGACTCTCAGCCAGCACTCCACACCCAGCAGGCCTGCTCTCAGATGCAGGAACAGCATGCAGCCCACACCCCAGCCCTGGGACTTTGCACTCCCTTACACCCTTCACAGCAATCTGTTCCTGTGTACCCACAGTCTCCAAGGCCTGCTAAGGAACCAGTGCTGCCTCGCCCTGAGCAGTAATCCAGCCAACTTGAAGGCCACTGCCAGGCAGTTACGGCAGCAGGTGCTACCTCCAAAGAACTATTCATTCATTGAGCAAACACACTGGCTACATAGTCCTATCACCACCCCCATTCTACCGCCAAGGAAACTGAGTCACAAAGACACACAGCTACTGGCAGGGCACCAGCCTAGCCTACAGAGTGGACCCCAAAAATAAATAAGGGTCCAACCCCTAACCCCCAGAGCCTATGAAGATGACCTTATTCATGAAAAGGATCTTTGCAGATGTATTGAAGATCTTGAGATAAGATCATCCTGGGTTTAGGGTGGGTCCTTACAGATAAAGACGCGGAGACAGGTAGAGTCTGTGTGAAGACTGAGGCACAGACTGTACTTCTTTCTGTAAGCCAAGCAATACCTGGAGCCATTGAAGTGGGAAGAAGCAAGAAAGGAGCCTCCAGAGGGAATGTGACAGTCTGATTTCGGATTTTGGGCCAGGAACTATATGACAACACATTCCTGTTGTTTTAAGTCACCAAGTTTGTTATGGCGGCCTTGCAAAACTAACACAAGCTGGTTCAGCTGACTCCAGAACCCATGCTCTCAACCCCACACCACTATTAGGTGAACATCAAGAGAAAAAAAAACTTTTCACTGGTAAGACTGTATCATCCCAGACTGAGGATCTCAGAATGAGAAACATGGATTTTTCTCCTCTTTACAAATGATATGTTAGTTATGAATTACCTTGGAAAGAGAAATGTTGCCCTGGCTGGTGTGGCTCAGTTGATTGAGTGCCATCCTGCAAACTGAAGGGTTGCTGGTGCCCAGGTCCCATTCCCAGCTGGGGCACATGCCTGGGCTATAAGCAGGTCCCCAGTTGGGGGTGTATGAGAGGCAATCTGTTTCTCTCACACATCCATATTTTTCTCCCTCTTTCTCCCTTCCTTCCCCTCTCTCTAAAAATAAATAAAAACTTTTTTAAAAGAGAAGTGTTATCTTCACAGCTCATTACAATTCAAGATTATCAACAAAAACACAAGAGTAAAATTTCTCCTGAACAAACATGCTAATAGGGGAAACTTGGTATGGAGTATATGGGAACTCTCTGTATTATTTTCCTGATAATCCTGCCAACCTCAGACTGTTTTAAAATCAGAAGAAGTTTATTTACAAAAGAAAAACCAACTCTCCTGGAACTCTTGCGGGTCAGCATTTGAGACCCTAGTTCGAAAAACTCTACCCTACACTACTCTGATCTCTATTGATGCCTGCACAATGAACAGCCTTGTTTATGATCCGGGGGATCCTCCTGAGCGTAAGATGGATCTTAAATGTCTGTCCTGAGCTCTGATGCCCACCTAGGATACCTTCCTCCTCCTCCTCATCTGGTCCAAGACCTAGCTCTACCCCAGCAAAGACAGGTGGGACACTTGGGAAATAGATACAGCTCTACAGAGTTTGGATTTTCCAAGTCAAGGCACAGGGAGAACCCTGTGTGAATTAACTGCTCTTCACACCCTTCTCTTCACACCCCATACCCAAAGTGAAAAAAAATGCACATTGGCCAAAACCAGTGAGAGACTTCTGAGTGGCTCCCGCCAGAAACCCTGAGAGACAAAGCTGAATGAAACAGAATAGCAAAATTTGAAGGATGAATCAAGAACAGGAGAGAAGAGATTAGGAGTAACAAGAGAAAGAAAAAAGATGAACTACAAAGACTCGAGGTCTTTGGCAAACACATTTGTGATTTTTTTTTTTTTCCCCACTGAAATGTCGGTTTTGAAACTAGCTTCTGAAAACGCACTGAGCTTCTCACATCCCCTAAAAGGAAGGTCAGAGGCATGTGTTAAAGGAGAAAGCTGTGTTACCTCTTCGGAACCAGGCATCAAGAAGGTGCCCTGCCCATCCACGTTATCACCAGAAGCACATCCGAGGGCCTCGCACCACCATCCTGGGGTCCCCCCACTGCCCTAATCTACGAGTTTCCCCTCTAGGGAGGGGAGTCCCAACCCCAAGCCTTCTAGATGGGTGGAATCCGTCCTCCAAGCCACCTCATACTGGGCATTTTTCAAATGTCCCTAGCAGTCCAGGGGGGTCCCCTGAGATGGCCAGAGGCTGCCCACATCCAGTCCTCCCCCCACCCCCGCCAGGGCTGCCACACCCGACTTCGAGACTCCCCACTTCTTCCATACCCCAGACCCCTTCTCTCCCACCCAGCCCCCATACCCCCAGAGTCCTCCGAATTCACCTTCCACTCTCGGCCCCCCACTTCCTGCCCACCCCCTCCCAATCTCCCAGCCCTCAATCCCCCATTTCCCGCTTTCCTCCGTACACAGGGCACCTCACCTCTGACCGCCACGCACGCCCTCTTCTCTGCCTCTGCCCCTTGATACCGTACCTCCTCAGTCCTCACTCAGGGCTAACCACAGTCTGCTACCCTGGCTCAGCCCCACGTACCCTAAACGAGGCCCCCGAGGCTTGGGGCCCCTAACCCTCGGGACGCCAAGCCCCTCACCCACCACTGCCGCCGCGTCCCTCCCGCCTCTGGCCACCCGCCCGGCCCGCCTCGTGCGCAGTCCTCACGCGCCTCCCGGCCGTCGGCCCGGACCCGGGACCCCGCACTCACGGCTGTAGAGGGCGATGCCTGCCGCGTCCGGGCCGGCGCGCACCTCGAGGCGCAGAGCCTGCTGCTCCGCGTGCCGCTGGATCTCGCCGTTCGCATCGCCAATGGTGAGGAGGCGGGCGCCGGAGAACACAGACACCGCCGCACAGGGCCCCGCGATGCCCGGGCCCGCCACCCCCACAACGCCCGCGCCCGGCCCAGCTGCCGCCGCCGCTGCCATCTTAGATCCGGCTCCAGGCCCCACCAAAGCCGCCGTCGCCGCCCGGGCCCAGGCCGCCGCCGCTACCGCTGCCGCTGCCGCCGCCGCGCAGGCCGAGACCGAGGCCGAGCCGGGCAGCGCCGCCTGCGGGCCACGAGCCGCCTCGCTGCCACTGCCGACGGGCCCGGACCCGAGGCGCAGCGCCCCCTGCCGGCGGCCCTAGGCGCGGGGAGGGAGCACGCCGAGCACCGGACAATCCGGGGGAAGGGGTCGGCCACGCCCCGGCCCCGCCCAGCGCGAACGGTCGCGGCTTTGTGAGGTGAGTTGGTGGCCCAGGAACGGCGAGGGGGTGGGGAGTGTGCGTCAAGGGGCGGTGTTCGGCCCCGCGGACACGCCCCTAATCCTGAGTTCCGTCCCCCAGCCCGGCGCAGCGGCACGGCTGCGGTGCGGGCTCCGATGCCCGAAGGGGACGCGGCAGGAGAGCGTTAGTGGGCGGTGCTAGGCCCTGAGGACACGCCCCCACGTCCCGCCCCGCGCAATTGACCGCGCATTGTGAAAAGGCTTCGGAGAACGAGAAACCTTGGGGGCGGGTCTGACGCCCTACGGCTCCGACACTCCCCTGAATCTGGGCCCCGCCCCTTGGCCCAGCTGGTTTTCTGAGGTGGCAAGCGGAGGGCGGAGTCCAGCTGCGACGGGGCCCCGCCCCTATACCGGCCCTACTCCCTCCCACTGGGCCTCACTTTGTAGGGACTACGGCTCCTGGGGAGAACCGTGGTTAGAGGCGGGCCCACAGCCTGGGACACGCTCCCAGGCAGTGACAACCCCCCACATCCAGCCCACCCAGCTGGAAAAGCAGTCCCTGGTGGGAGTAGTCTTTTATGCACGACCTGAACCCAGTGGGAACCCACAGCATTCAAGCATTCCCTCTCTCTTCCCCGTCATCTCTCTTCCTCATCATCTCCATTCCGGTCCCACAGCATTCCCTGCATCCATTCTCAAGCCTTCACTATCTCCTCTCCCACAAAAAATTCTTGGACCTCTCCTTCTGGACCCCTCCCTTAGCCCCTAGTTATTCTGCCTTCCTCCAATTATGGCTGGCTAGCTGAGTCCAGTTGGGCATGGCCAAGTGTGTCTTTTCTCTCTCTCTCACACACCCATCTTCCCTCCACGTCCCCCATTCCACTGCTCCAGGGCCCCTGTTGGAAAACTCAAAGAGGCTTGCTGCCTCTTCCCATCTTCCCCAGCTCCCATCGTTCCCTGGATCTCCTCATTTACTATTCATTCTCCCCAATATTCCTCTTCTCCCCGCATCATTCCATCTCCTATACCCAACAATGCCAGGACTTTGCCAGAGACTCCTTGTGGCACTGTCCCCTCCTACACCCTTATGGGCTTCTATATTAGCCACCCTTGAATGCGTGCAGCTGAGGGGTACTCTGCCCACCCACCGGGCATTCAGTGATTGGAACCCAGAAGTCTGGGGCTTGAAAGATTACACTCCATAGAAGCCTTGGGATCAGCTCAGCACATGCTATAATTAATAATTTAGGCATACCAGCAAGGCAGACACACAGAACATACCTGGGGGTACCCTATTTTCCAAAAACCCAGTTGGGTTGTCCAAGTCAGGTGTAGCAAAGGATGAGGAAACTGGAGGGATGTACAGAGAGCTCTTACGGCCCAGCTGGGGACCAGAAGGGATCCTAACTACTCCCCTGGTGGTCTTCGAAGCTGAGAATCCAAAGAGAGGCTTCCTGCTTTCTGTCCATCCTCCAGGCCAATGTCTGCTCCCACTCTTCTACTCCTGCTCCTCTGTGAGGAAGGTCCCAAGGCCAGACATCCTGTTCAGTTCCCTGAGAAAGCAGTAGCCAGAACCCTCCAAACCACCTGGAGGGATTCTGGTCCCACATGGCCTGGCCAGATCAAGTGAGAGGGTGGGGGTAGAGTACATAGAGAGGGGCCTCAATCCTCAGCCTCACTGGCAGGCCCGGAAGGTGCTGAATTCGGGGGGCTCAGGTGAGGATGATGTGGAGGTGGGCCTCTTCCGGGGCCCGCAGTTTTCAGGGGTTGCAGCAGAGCCTGAGTAAGCATACAGGGTGACTGTGTCTCCTTCTGAAGTCATTTTCTTTGTCCGTGGAAGAAAAATAGAACTGAGTGATTTGTTGCTTCTGGGTTTCCCAATGTTCTCTGATACTCCCCAATTCATCAGGTCTCATCTACCCCCCACATATGCCCCACAGCTTCAGAGCCCTGATCTGCCTTCTGTCCTCCTGCCTTCCTCTTTGCTGAATAGGGGACCAAGAAGCCTGGGTTCCAATCCCAGCTCCAGTACATCCTAGTGGTGTGACTTCAGTCCAATGACTTAATACCTCAGTGCTCAGTTTTCCCTGTTGCACAATGGTGAGAGCACTAATACCCTCCTCCAGGGGTTGCTATGAAGCATAAAGGAATTAAAGCACCTGATGTATCACATTGTAAGAGTTCAGTGAACAGAGTTATTACAATGATCTCCTCCCCTTCCATTCTGGACTTCCTCAAAAGTCTACTCTCTCCTCTGCCTTGAAGGCTCCTGCTTGAAATGCTGGTCACAAAGAGATGAATTCACTAAAACTTAAGCCTGGCAGGTGAGAGCAGGCTGGGGTTCCACTCCCAGTCCTCTTCCTCCTTAGTTGGGTGACCCCAGTAAGGCTCATAACCAGCTTTAGTCTCGTTTGTATTGAGGAAAAAAAGAGTCAACTGCACTTTGTGGGATGTTACAAAGTAAATATCAGACCCTCAGTGTAATAATACAGTATAAGCTGAGAGACTGGTCAGCTGCTTCATTTTCATTTCACCCAACAGCACAGCTTTCTAATGCTTCAAAAAGAAACTAGAATTGAAAGCAGGGACGCAAACAGATACTTGCACACCCATGTTCATTGCAGCATTATTCACAATAGCCAAAAAGTGGAAGCAGCCCAAGTGTCCATCAGTGGGTGACTGGATAAACAAAATGTGGTGCACACATACAATGGAATATTATTCGGCCTTACAAAGGAAGGAAACTCTGACACATGTTAGAACATGAATGAACTTTGAAAACATTATGCTGAGTGAAATAAACCAGACACAGAAAGGATGAGGGGGTCCAAAAAAGGGAAATTCACAGAGACATAAAGTAGAAGAGTAGTTGCCAAGGGCTGGGGGGGGGGAGGTAAGACTGGGGAGTTAGTGTATAACTAACTGCTCTCCAAGACAAAGTCTGTAAACAGACGGTTGTGAGAGTTGCATAATGTGAATGTACTTAATATCACAGAACTGCACACTGAAAAGTGGTTAAAATGAGGCCCTGGCCAGACTGCTCATTGGTTAGAGTGACATCCCAATGGGCCAAGGTTGCAGATCTCATCCCCTGTCAGGGCACATACAAGAATCAACTGATGTTACATAAATAAGTGGAACTACAGATCGATAATCCTCTCTACCTTCCTCTCTCTAAAGTCAATAAATTTTTTTAAATGGTCAAAATGTTATATATGTTAGGTATATTTTACCACAATTTATAAAAAAGGAAACTAGTAAAGCTCAATAGAATTTACTATTAGGGAACAAAAGCAGCATACATAACAGTGTAAATATCATGTTATTATTTGTGCTTAAAAGGGCGAGGATATAGATTTGCTATTTTCACCTTAGCTTGCATTTTTCAAGAAATTCCTAACAGTGTTCAGTGGTTACTTCTGTGTGTGTAGACAGGGGGACCAATGGGTGCAGAACAGTTACGTAATTTAAGAAAAAAACAACACAGTACCGTACTATAATTTTGGCATATGGATGTATCTCATATTTTAAATGTTTTTAAACTAAAAATATATATAGCAGCCCTGGCTGGTGTGGCTCAGTGGATTGAGTGCCAAGCCTGCAAACCAGAGGGTCCCCAGTTGGATTCCAGTCAGGGCACGTGCCTGAGTTGTGGGCCAAGTCCCCAGTAGGGGGCGTGTGAGAGGCAACCACATATTGATGTTTCTCTCCCTCTCCCTCCCTTCCCCTCTGTCTAAAAAAAAATTAAATAAAATCTTTTAAAATATATATATATACCAATAAGAATATATATATATATATACACACATACACATGGTCATGGTCACCAGGTCTAAAATACTAAGAAATAAGTTATTCTGTTTTCCATTGTTTCATTTTAAATGCCTTCTTTAAAAAGGAAAAAGGAAAAATCACCAGATTGGTGCCTTGAGCCTGTGGTTTCTCACGGAAAGTTTTCAAACTTGCCCTGCCTATTGGCATTTTCCTAACAACTCAGGATTTGTTCTGGGAGCAGAGACCTCAGAAGGCTGAACGGCCCTGCACTCAGCCCCTTCCTTGCCACTGTCTGTACGCCAGTGACTAGGGACAAGTGTAAACTTCCTTACTCCTAGCTCCAGAATTCCAGACTCACATTTCCATCTGCTCTTGGGCATAACCAAAGGAGGTGGCCCATTCCTTGTCCCTTTAAGCTGTCCCTCCCCAACACTCTCCCACGCCTCCTCCTCCTTCGGCCCACTCATCCAGTCAAAACTCAATGCCGTGTTCCCATCTGCTGAATCTACATGAACTGCATCTGTTCACTTCTCCCACCTGTGCTGCCAACAAGCTGGACCAAACCACTTTGCATGCCTGGACCAATCCATCCATGCCCTCCAAGTCTGTCATCCCCACAGCCTGTGAGCACCTGAATATGGTTATATCCCTTCTCTGCTCTGAAACCTTCATGGCTCCCACCTCACTTGGGGTAAAAGTCAAAGCTATCCACATGGCCTGTCAACTTCTCACTCTGCTCTAGCCCAGTTATATGTGCTGTGTCAAGAACGTGTCCCAAGCCTGCATCAATCTTCTGCAGCTACCTCCTGCTCCTGCTTGTCACCCATCTCTGAGACCCCTTGGATCTCCTATCCATGTGAGAAGTGAGTTTCCTGGTCAGTCCTGGCCCCCGTGGCATCATCTCTGTCCCCGCACAGAATTAAAAAGCTCTGAGGGAGTGAGGGCCTCATCCTGTTCTTGTCTAAATGCCCTCACCCCACTCCCCATCATGGTGCCGCAAGCAGATGACTCTGCCCAGGTGCCGGCAGCAGTCCCAAAGCGTCTGCTTGTCCAAATGGGAACTCTGAGGCCAACTTGAATGGGGCCGCCTTCACCCCAGACCTGGACTCCTCTCCATGTGAAGAGGAGCAGCTGAACGTTTTCTTGATCCATGGTGTCCCTGGCTCAGACATCTCTAATTTAATTTAAAAAATTTTTTAAAAGATTTTATTTATTTATTTATCTTTAGAGGGGAAGGAGAGAGGGAGAGAAACATCAATGTATGGTTGCCTTTTGTGCATCCCCTGCTGGGAACTGGCCTGCAACCCCGGTATGTGCCCTGACTGGGAATGGAACTGCGATCCTCTGGTTCTCAGGCCTGTGCTCAATCCACTGAGCTACACCAGCCAGGGCTTTAATTAAAAAATTTTTAAAATAAAGTACAAACACCAAGGCCACCGCAAGATGCAGTTGGGCAGAGTGGTTCAATCCCAGCCCAAACAGGTATGATCTGGGGGAGCAACACCCCTCAATGGAGGGGCGTGCAGTGAGACCCTCCCCACTAAAAGAGAAAATGTATGACTGGGGCATTTTAGCTGAAATCCCAGAAACTGAACAAAGTAGGCTTTTCTTTATACCTGGAGGGGCCTACATTGTGCATCAGATTATCACAAAGCTCTATGACCCCCCCAAACACCACCAGGTCCCCCTGAATACCCTCTGTCACCATTCTGGGGAGCTGCCCAGATTGAATGCAAACACCCCAATAGCAACCGCCCCCCCCCGCCTCCCCTCCCCCAACTGCCCGTTGGCACACATTGGCTTGGCTGTGGCCGCCTCCATTCCCCTGGGAAGTCTCACATCCAATTCTCATCTATCAGCCAAATCCCTGCTCAGTGATCCTGAGGGAGGGCTTTTCCCTCCCACCCTGGCAGTGGCCCCACCTTTCCTGGAGATAGGCAAAAACTGAGACCAGGAAATGAAAGGACTTACCGTTGAGATGGCAAACAGGGAATTATTGAAGGACATGTCTGGAAGAGATAGAGGAAAACCAGGACTGGGGCCAGTTTAAATTCCCTGCTCAAACCCCTGCCCCCAAGCCCACAGGTCCAATGGCAACCCTGGTCATCCCCAGGCACCCTCTTTCCTCTCTTCCAGCCCGTCTACAGGGTGAACCATTCATGGCTGCAAACTGTACCATGTTCCTCTTCTACTCCCAGCCCTTCTTCAGCGGCCTTTCGCTGCCCTCCAGAAAATGGGTGCCTCATCTCAACTCCCGCTGTTGGAAACACCTCTTAGCTCCTTCACCTCCCCAGGCTACCCCTAGGCGTCCCCTCCAGGTCTTTGCTTAAACATCACTTCCTTGAGGGAACCACCTAAAAGCCCCAGACAGGTCCCAGCCTATATCGCCTATTTCCCCACTGGAGTGTGTGAGCTTGTGGGCAGACAACATCTTTGTCTTGTTCCTCGAGGGAGCCGCACAGATATCAACCCAAAGTAGGTGCTCAACAAATGTGAAAAAAATAGAACGGAGTTTCTCGGTTTGGGGCCGCTTCTTGACCATCGCACATCACAGACTGGCTGCCCCTCGCCCCCTGGTGGAAGCCAGCAGAATGACACGTTTGGACAAATAGAGCTCCATTTGAGGATGGTGGCAAGTACTGTGAAACCAGCGGGGTGCTCAAGCAGACAAGGCAGAAGCAGTGCGCCCCCGTGGAGTTGAACGTCGAGTGCTGGAGGCGAATATGACATACCCAACAGGCAATGATTACTTGACTGTGTTACTACTAAGGCATAAGAAGGATGACAGGGTGCCTGTTGGGAGAATGTAAGTAGAAAGCACAGACCCTGTCTAGGGAGTCAAAAAAGACTTTCTGGAGGAAGTAACCTTCAGACTGAAACCAGAAGGAAGAACAGTGCTCTAGGCAGAGGGCTGAGTGCATGAAAGGCCCAAGGATGGGTCAAGGAGAAGTGAGAGGTGAAACCTGGCGTGGAGGGGAGTTGGAAAGCAGGGGGTATATTCTTGCCCCTATGGGAAGTGATCATCCTCAGAAGAGGTCCAGTAGTGAGTAGTGAGGCCCATGGTGTTTTGAGGCAGAGAACCCCACCTGGGAGCCAATGGCGGAGGGACAGGATCAAGGAAGAGGCACAAACCTGTTGTGGTGAAGTTAATCTGGGCCCAGCAAGATTCTTGCTCTCTGTAAAGGGATTGTGAAGAGAGGGATGCCGTTTCAGGAAGGAGGCTTTTTCCAGACTCCAAACCTGACCTTTGTTCACCACTCACCCTGAATCCTCTCAGATGGAAATTCTAAGAGCCCCACAAGCCAGATAAAGTCAGGATCTGATTCCAGGGCTGCTGCTAGCTCTCCGCCACTAGGCAGCAGGGTGTCCACCCCTCTCTTAGAGGGGAGAAACCAAGGCTGGCACCAGTTGGGACATCCCAATGCCCAGGAAACAGGGCATCAGGTTGGACACTGTACAACCCCAGGGAGATGCCCCTTCCTTCCCCCACTGTGGATTTTCTAGACTGATTAGACCATTTTTGGCAGCTGGCAGTAAAATGATGTGTGGAAGGCTCAGCCATTTCTCTCTGTGCCTCAGTCTCCTTGTCTGTAAAATGGGGCTATTTATGGTGCCTGCTTCCAGGGCTGCTGTGAGGACAACAGGAGCTCCAGCTTCACAGCCTCCTAGCACAGTGCCCCGCACACCCACCCAGCAGAGGCTCTGTCCGCAGTGCAGCTCCCACAGAGCCAGGGAAGTGCCCTTTATGCCCCAGAACTTGGCCAGCTCTCAGAGTCCCTAACCCCCATCAGGGACTCCTACCCTGAGACTAAATATATTTCTTTCCCCCAAACTACCCTCTGAGGGTCTCCGGGGATAGTCTCACCTTTTCTTCTGCATTTTTCTTACTTTAACTGAGGAACAAAAAAATAAATAAACATTTGTTAGGTTTGGGTTCTGGGTGCATCCTGTTTGCAAGTTTCCAAAAAACCAAAAAGCCAAAGCCCCTCAGACATTTGCGGCCCAGCCTTCGCCTCCCCCCCCCCCCCCCCCCCGGCAGATCTGCCGCCCAACAGGAGAACTACTGCAAACATTTATTTTCCCCAAGTACATGAGTAATGTGTGTTGGTAAAAACATCAAACAAGGTACAAGCATATAAAACTTGCTTTCAGAAAAAATGTTAATTTCGGTGGGTGCCAGGGGTTGGGTGGAGGGGATGGGGAGTTATGGGGACAGAGTTTCAGTCTGCGATGAAAGAACCCTGCAGATGGGTGGTGGTCACGGCTGTGCGGCAGTGCGAGTATGCTTCATGCCACTGAACGGGACACTTAAAAAGGGCTAAAATGGTAAATTTTATGTTTTGTATATTTGAGCACAATAAAAAATATATATGTCCCCCCCCTGCCCACCGCCATCCTCATACTGCTGGAAGGTTCTTCACTGCTAAGTTTAGAGTAAGGTCTCCCCATTTTTGGGTTCTAAAAAATGGGTGTGAGTCCTGGCTGGTGTAGCTCAGTGGATTGAGCATGGGCCTCTGAAGCAAAGGGTTATCGGTTTAATTCCCAGGGTTGCAGGCCAGGTCCCCAGTGGGGGACATGTGAGAGGCAACCACACGTTAATGTTTCTCTCCCACTCTTTCTCCTTCCCTTCCCCTCTCTCTAAATAAATAATAAATAAAATATATTTTTAAAAAAGGGTGCGAGTGGAAGTGCATTTACATGCTCCAGGGGTGGCACTCTGGCAGCCAGTGGGCCATGCTTGCTCTCGTCGCCTGCTGTTACCTTTCCTGATCACCACAGCAACAGCCACCAGCCCAGCAAGGAGGAGGGCTCCGGCCAGGCTCAAGGAGAGTGCCAGGATCCAAGGGGGCACTAGAGAAAAGTGGGAAAAGAGAGAATGGGCAGGTCATGGAGTTGTAAAGGCACAAGAAGGAGTTAGAGCAACTATCATTCTTCTAGGTTATCTTGGTGGAGCCAGCCTCCCCCACCCCCAATACCCCCCACACTATGTGGCTTGAGTGTAGTTGGACTCTAGGAATCCAGCAAATCTTGTATCTAGCCAATTAACATATTCATACCCCTGGCCATTGTGATTGGCTCAGAGATGGGCATGTGACTCAAGCTGAGCCAAGGAGGGCTAATTCTGTAGCTGGATAGGCCTCCAGGAGGAGAGGTTTACTGGTTGGAATATACATTTTGATATATATATCAAGCTGGTGGTATATACATCTGGAGCTGCTGGGCCCAGTTTTGCCACCATGAAGGGAAGGCTTGCCTGAGAATAAGACACAGAAGAAACCTGAACTGAGAGGTGGCAAATGATTCCTGACACCTTGGGTCACCTGGACCCAACAAATCCCCTTTGGTGGTTGAAACCATTTGAGTCAAGTTTTCAGTTACTTGCAGCCCGAAGTAAGTTTCCAACTTGCAGTTCTGCTGGCTTCAGCACAGGTACGAGGGGATCAGGGAACATCCACCCTTAGCTACATGGTGAACCCTGAGGCCCACACAGAGCTCAACCACAGAAGCATGAAGCCCCAGCTCCAGAGTTTTCTCTGCAAAGGATTTGGCTGCTCCTCCCAGGAGAGAAAGGGGTCTCTCAAGGGAGCAGATGCTCTGACCCCAGTGGAGGGCAGGAGCTAAGCCAGGAATGGGAAGGACAGACGCACACTTGGTGCTCGCACAGTATTAGCCTTGTTCATTCATTCATCTGGGGCAGGGGTGGGGCGGTGGAGGGTGGTTGTCACCTCCTCACTCGGAGACCACAGGATCAAGGTGAGAGAAGGGGGCCTTTGATAGTGGAACTTGAGGCAAGGAAGGACACAGAGACTGTTCTGTCATCCCAACGTGTGAGCCTCTGCGGGCAACAAAGTCCTCTTTGCCCCTGGAAAGTTCCGATTAATGCTGCCACAGAGGCTCCACCTGGAGGCTCTTCCCCTCCCACTCCTGATCCAGAGCCCACACCCACCCCCTGCCCTGGAGAGACCAGCATCCCTCCCAGGACTTACGTCCCACTCGTCCAAAAGGCCAGGGTCCTTGCTGCAGCCACAAGGCCCTGCAAGATCCTTTTTGCCACCTCCTTGCCCTGAACTCTCCCCACTTTCCTCCATGTTCACTCGGCTTCAATGAAGGGTGCCTCCATGGTTGCTCGAACACAGTAGGTATACACCAGCCTCAGGGCCTCTGCACAGTCTGCTCCTCCTACCTGCAACCTCCTACCCTAGACATTCACATGGCCAGCTGTTTATCATTCAGGTCTTTTCCCAAACATTGCCTCCTCAGAGAGGCGTTCCCTGGCCACTCTTCTCTGTATTTAAAATGACACCCTTCAGCAGGCTATATTTCATCCTTGGCATTTTACTTGCCCCCTTCTGGCAGATCCAATAATTATTAGACTCATTGTTTATTGTCTGTCCCTATTCCATCAGAATGTCAGCTGCAAGAGGGCAGGGACATTGTTTCAGTCACTGCTGAAACTGCACTGTTAAAGACAGTGCCTGGTGCACAGCGGGTGCTTTCAAATGTTCTGTGGCCAGGAGCGGAGGGAGGCAGCAGAGCAGGCTGGTCAATGCCTAGGCTTTGGAGCCAGTGGCAGCCCAGCTCTGCTGCTTGCTGGCTGTGTGACTTGGGCAAGACCCTTCATCTTTTATGCCTTGTTTTCCTCATCTGCAAAATGGGGAGACTCACAATACCCATGGCACAGGGTGACTGTGAGGATTAAACATGGGAAGGTAAGTCCTAGCAAGTAGGAAGCCTGGCTTGTCCTGTGATGACTGCCAAGCAGAGGGAACAGCACGTGGAAAGCCTTGGTAAGGAGAAAATGGAGCTGCAGGCGGATGAGGGCCGGTGAGAGGGCCTTACCTGGGAAGGAGACGTGCACAGTGTCACTGCGGTCTGACAGCTGCGGTAGCCTATCCTCGCCAAGCACGCCATACTGGCAGTGAAACGTCGTCCCCCCTGCAGCCTCCCAGGTTCCACCACTCAGGTTGAAGATGACACCAAGCTGGTCTGCAGGGGCCTGCAGGAGCTGGACCACCATCTCCCCTCGGTACAGCGTGAAGTTGGCGCCTGGGAAGCCCATGGGGGCCATGCATCCAATGTAGATGGGGTCCTCGTGACTGCTGGGGTGTGGGGGCACTAGCAGGATGGATGGGGCTGGTATCGCCATGGAGCCTATGATGCAGAATAAGGGAGGTCTTAGGTCAGTGGGGGTTAGAGCAGCGTCTGGCCTGCCTATGTGGCCTGGGGCAAGTGACTCACCCTCGTAGGCCCTTGTTGTTCCAACTGATTACAGATTTATTTTCCTCACTTGTCAAACACACAGTTGATAATTTCAAGGGGAAAATACACGAAAGGCATATATACAACTATAGAAGTTCATATTATACATGTAGCATAGAAGATACATTATTACTAATTTTTACATATTCTAGAAGGTACTCAAATCAAGACAGATTCAAACTGGTTGGTTGATAGAACTTCTGTGGCCTTGATTTTTATGTACAACTGAAGGCTAGTCATCCCTACCCCACGGCGACATTGAGGGAATCAAGTGTCTAGCAACTGGTGAGGGTCACTGCATTTGCCTCTTTTTAAAAAAATTTACTTATTTTTAAAGATTTTATTTATTTATTTTTAGAGAGAGGGGAATGGAGGGAGAAAGAGAGGAAGAGACACATCAATGTGTGAGAAAAGCATGGATCAGTTGCCTCACAAGGGCCCCAACTGGGGACCCGGCCTGCAACCCAGGCCTGTGCCTTGACCAGGAATCAAACCAGTGAGCTTTTGGTTCGCAGGCTGATGCTCAATTCACTGAGCCACACCAGCCTGGGCATAAATTTACTTATTGATTTTAGAGAGAGGAGAAGGGAGAGAGACAGAGAGAAACATCGATTTGTTGTCCCACTTATTTACGCATTCATTGGTTGGTTCTTGTCTGTGCCCTGACTGGAGATGGAACCTGCAGCCTTGGAGTATCAGGGGGACACTCTAACCAACTGAGCTACCCAGCCAGGGCTGAGTCATTTTTTAAAAATAATTGCAGTGGTCATTATACAGCAACACAATTACATTCTCATTACTTCAATCAACAGTACTGCCTATGTGCCAGGCCCTGTTTTAGGTGCTCGGGATAGTGGTGAGTGAAACACAGAGAGACATGCCCAGCTCCAGGCTGATGTTCTCGGGAAGACAAGAGGCGCCATGAAGCACATCAAAGTAATGAGAAGGCTGCACTAGCTGGGGCGGCCACAGAGGCTTCCCTGAGGGAGTGGCACAAGGGGAGCTGAAGGAGAGCATTTCAGGCAGAGGCTGGGAGGCTTAAGTGGGGTGTGGGATAGTCAAGGAGGCCAGGGTGGCTGGAGGGGATGAGGGAGAGAGAGTGGAAGGAGGGGAGGACTGAGAGGTTCCTGCTTCCTAGGCTGTGGTGAGGAATGTAGATTTGGGGGTTCAGTTTCCGGGGGGGGGGCGTTTCCTCCTCAGTGTCCCTCAGGCCCCTGAGCACAGTGTGTCTGGCTCAGGTGTGGTCCACGAGAGCCTTTCCTTGTCCCCAAGCAGGTCTGCTGCTCTGGCCCTGGCGATGGGAGCCTCAGAGGCCAAGCGGGCTGAGTCATGGGGTGTGGGCTCTGCTGTCTCCAGTGGGGTGGCATTTCATATCCATGATGTGAGGGTAAAGAGGAGCACAATAGAAGAAAGTGATGCTCCTGGGACATTCCCAAGGCTCTGGGACAAATCTATCAGTGCTCAGCCTCTTTTAGCACCTGGGGAGGGCAGCCCAGGGCCATGGCTCCTGCCCTCAAAGAGGCCAGGTGGGAGAGCATGGGGGAGTGGTTCAGGGTGGTGCAGGGGTGTCAGGCTCACCAGCTGCTAAGAGCAGGACAGTCCAGGGCATCGCTTCGCCAGCGTTTGGCCGGACAATCTGGCTGAGACCAGTGTGGCCCCACGGCTCACGACTGCTCCTGTGAGACCAGAGTAGGAAAAGGAGAAGCTGGGCTGATTTTAGCCGAGTGTTTCCTCACTGGCAGGAAGTTGCACACATACTCGGGTACTGAAAGAGGCTCTCTCCTCTTCCCCCTCCTTCCATTGGCCCCCGTCAGAACTTGGCACCTCTCTGCCCCTTGGTGGCCGTGGTTCTGCAGATGGGAGGGACAAATGAAATGGTCGGGGTGCATTTATTTTCCTACCCCTGAAAGGCCTCCTGGGCATGAGGAAGGACAAGGGCTGTGGGCTGTTTAGGAAACCTGTGCCCAAGACATACACCACAGCCAGCGTTGATACACGTGTCAAGTGTCAAGTTCAGGGTAGTCGGGCATGGGGGTTAGGGCTTGGCCTTTGTGACCTCAGGCAAGACACAGTCCTTTTTTGAAGTCTCATCTTGCTGCTCTGTAATGGGGCTGAGAGAGGACAGAAGAGCCAAAGAACTCATAGTATGAAGCACAGTGCCAAGTGGGTGTGAGCATTTCTAATGTGAAGCCAGACAGAAGAAAAGCCTTAGGAGCCTCACCAGCCAGGTGAAACCCCCGCTCCAGAGCTGGGGCAATGATAGACTTTGCAGGATAAATTGCCTTCCATTTCCAGCCCAAAGGTTTGCTTGACCTTTGGGTTTGCTTTGGTCCCCAAAGGTTTCTGTTCGAATCAAGCAAGTCCACCTGGAAATCTACACCCAGGAAGGATATAAGTATGTGTTCATTAAACAGCAAAAAGGGCCACTAAACTTTTTTCTTTGGACACACAAACCGCATACCAACCTCAGGGCCTTTGCACATGCTGTGTTCCCCGCCTGGGACACAATTCTATTGCCCTGGTCAAATCCACTCCCTCAGGTCTCCACTTAAATATTGCTTCTGGGAAATCTTTTCCAGACCTTCTAGACTTAGAAAAATCCCCTTGTTGAATTCTCCCATAGTCTTATAATTTTATTTCAATTAGCATGCTTATTGTTACCGAGGAATTTATCTATTTCATCTAAGTTGAAGAACTTACTGGTGCAGAATTGTTAATGTTTTATCATTTTTCTGCTTTTAACTAATTAACATTAGAAAAAGGCGGTGGGGGGAGAAAGATTTGTTGTTCCACTTTATTTATGCAATCATTTGTTGATTCTTGCATGTTCCCTGCATAGGGATCAAACCTATAACCTTGGCATATCGGGACAATGCTCTAACCAACTGAGCTACCTGGCCAGGGTCTCCTTGTTTTCCTTTTAATGTTTGTGGGGTCTGTGGTGATGATATGTCCTCTTGGTAATGTAAACTGGCTTTTTTTCCCTCTTTTTTTTCCTTGATTAGTCTTGCTAGGAATTATTCAGTTCTATTCATCTTTTCAAAGCACCAACTTCTGACTTTGTTGTTTTCCTCTATTTTGTTTCCTATTTCTTTGCTTTTTGGTCTTATCTTTTTTTTTTGTTTACCTTGTATCTAATTGGCTCTTCTTCTATTAGCTTCTTAAGATGGAAGCTTAGATCACTGATTTTAAATGTTTATCTTCTAATATAAGCATTTAAAGCTATCCATTTTACTGTAAACACTGCTGTAACTACATCTTATTGTCATTGTTAAAATATTATTTTATTTCCCTTGTGAATTTTCTCTCTGAGTTATAGTTTAGGTGTTAATTTATAAATATTTGGGCTTCTTTGATAACACACTGTTAGTGATTTTTCATTTAATTCCTTTGTGGTCAGACAATATACTCCATGTAATTTCAATCCTTTGAAATTTGATTTTCTTAATGGCCCTGTATATCTTGATCTACATTCTATCGGCCCTTAAAACGTAGAGACAACACTCTGCCAGTTTGGTATAATAGTCCATAAATGTCAATTAGATTAGGTCAAGGTGGTTCACAGAACTTGCTTGAATGCATTGAATTCATCCAGCTCGCTTCCTCCAGAGGTGCAGGGCTGGGGGCCTTTGTGTCTCCTGCAGGTCCCCGATGCCTATCACACTGCTTGGTACACAATGAACCATAAATATTTCTTGATTGTCTGATCTGGAAGCCAAAAAATATTCATTCAGTGTAGTTTCATGTTTCTAGCGTGTGTATAAAAGAGAGTTGAGAGATTCTTGGCTTTGATGTGTAGGAGACAAAACTGAGAGATTCCTTCCAGATACAGTTGAACCTCGGTCCTCAAAGTTAATTTGTTCCAGAAAACTATTAGAGAAGTAATTTGTTCAAAAACCGAGTCTCCTTTGTTTGTTGCCTGAGAGACACCTTATTGATGATCATACTGGTATTGGCACAGAAGGGTTGTCAGACAGAGAATCAAGACCTGAAGTTTTATTAGACAACCGAGACTTTTTTGTCCAAAAACTTGGTCAAGAACCAAATTGTTCAAGAACGAAGATGGTCAAGAACCGAGGTTTGACTGTATCTGACTCTAAAAGCCTGAGGAGCCAGAGGAAGGGCGTGCTAGGTAGAGGGAATTCTGTGTGTGTGAGGGCTTCATTCTGGAAGCATTTAATATGGTGTAGGAATCCATAACCTGGAATTGAATTCAGAAAAAGAGCAACACATACCTGTATTAGTCACCAACTGTCACACAGCTATTGTCCTTAAGAGGTACAACTGAGGAGTCACAGACAGGATGAAGGGAAATCAACAAGGGATGGTGACTCCTGGGTTATGGGGGCTGTTACTGGCTTAGGCCTGAAATTGCTGGGGAGGAAGTGGTCTTGGAATTTGGAGAGAGATGAAGTTACAGACTTTGGTAGAGATACAGACCAATATGGTGGGAGCCAGGGGATGTACACCTAGATCTCCCTCTCCTCCAGGCCTGGTATCTCCTGCCAGAGCTGAGCCCAAGCAGCCAGGTTGATCCAGGGTATAGAGGTCAGCCTTCCACAGCAGAGTGGTGCAGAGAAGGGTGAAAAACCACTCTGGTGGGGAGTGCACAGACTGCCCAGCACACAATATTAGAATCTTTTGGAAGTCAGGCCACCAACTCCCCATGGTTGTAAGAAACCCAGGCTAAGATTCTGGGGCAAATACTACAAAGGGAAGAGGGACCCTTCGTGATGTGACCTGTGCTGACTACTCCCATCTGTTCTCTGGTTACTCCTCTCTCTCCCATCATTCCTTTCACCTCCTTTCTGCCCCTTGAACCCTCTGAGCACCTTCTGACCTCAGGGCACCGTTGTTTGTCTCCTCCTCTCTCTTCTTCAAGTATGAGTTTCAAAGCCACCTCTTCAGGAAAGCCTTCCCTGACTCCACCCAGGCTAAATGAGCCACCCACCTACAACCTAGCATTTACTTCTTAGGGCTTATGACTACCTAAAGCCACCTTAGTGGAGCAACGCTAGGAAGACAGCTCCACAAGGACACAGTGCCTGCTTTATTCATAGTGTCAGATACTCAGTAAATATTTGTTGAATAATAGGAAAGGGGGAAGTTTTTGTTTAATCGAAAGAAATTAAGAATAAGCATTCAGGCCCCAGATGTCAGTGAAAATGGAAGAATTAGTAGCTCCAAGGGCCTGTCCCTCCACAGAAACATTGACCAATTGAACAAAGACAGTCAGAATCAACTTTATATAAACCCTGGAAAAGGTTAAAAGCAACATGAACGTGGCAGGAAAGCTTTGTGTTTCTGTGCCCTTCCTTTATTTCCTTCCCCAGCATGGCAGGTCTTGAAGATAGCAGCCTGTGTCCTCAGGATGGGGCCCTGGTCTTTGGTTCCTGAGAGCAGCCCTCCTTCTCACAGTCTTGTGTTTGTTCTGACATGTCTGGGGCTATCTGCAAGACTGACTCCAGATACAAGTACTTGTCCCTTTGACTCAGATTGCAGTCAACAGTGTAAGGCAAAAGAAGACCCACAGCTGCTGAGGACAAAAGGTGACCACTGAGGACAACGACAGACATGCTATTATTAAAGCTGGGAGGAATAGCTGGGGTGAAAGTTTCTTTGGGTAAATAGAGCACTCAAAAGTACCCATATATACTGGGGAATTTAGAAGGCATCGTGCATGCCCAATGCAGGACAAATGCTCAGAAAAGACCTGAGAAGACAAGCTTTCACCTCTGGCTGATCTGTTGCTCAGCAGGATAGGAAGTGAAAGCTAAGGCAGAGCTGGAACTGCCCTGTGGAAGCACTGAAACGTCATAGATCTGCAGAGTAGGAGAGGTTTTTCATTTTTTTGTCCTTTTTCTCTCATAATATATAAAAACTCTTATAACTCAACAAAAGGACACACCACCTGATTTTAAAATGGGCAAAGACTTGAACAGACATTTCTCCAAAGATATACAAATAGCCAAGAAGCACATGAGAAGATGCTTAACATCATTATGGAAATGTAAATCAAAGCCACAATGAAATACACCTTCACACCCATTAGATGACTATAATAAAAATAAAATAGAAAGTAACATGTGTTGATGAATATGTGGAGAAACTAGAACCCTCATACATGGTTGGTGGGAATGTAAAATTGTGCAAATATTGTGCAACAGTTTGGCAGCTCCTTAAAAATGTTACATGTAGAATTACCATATGATCCCAGCAATTCCACTCCTAGGTAAATCGTTAAAGAATTGAAAGCAGATACTAAAAAAACAAAAAACCATATACACACATGTACACAGCAGCATTATACACACAATAGACAAAAGATAGAAACAACCCAAATGTTCACCAGCACGTGAATGGTTAAACAAATTGTGGTAATCCATATATTGGAATACTATTCAGCCATAAAAGGAATTTAATATTGATACATGCTATGATGATGAACCTTGAAAACATTTTGCTAAGTGAAATTAGCCAAACACTCCCACATTCCACTTACATCAGAAATCCAGAATCTGTAAATCCATATAGGTGGACTGGCAGTTGCCAGAAGCTGGGGTGAATGGGGGAATGAGGAATAATTGCTTAATGGGTACATGGTTTTCTTTTCTTTTGGGCTGATAAAATATTTCAGAAGTAGGAAGAAGTGGTGGTTGCACAGCATACTGAATGTACTAATTGCCACTGAATTATTCCCTATAAAATGGTTGATTTTATGTAGTAATGTTTACTACATAAACATACTCATTTAAAAAACCATTAAAAACATCACTCCTTCTCCACAACTACTTCAAAATGTCCAAGCAGCGTCCGAATGATAGAAATACTAGTGAAACAAAATACTAAGCACAACCGTACATAAACTTTGACCTTACAAAGTGGTGTAACTTCCCCAAGTTCTCCAAATGCAGGAAGGCGCCGACAACTACCAGCTGTATTTGAAGAGTAATTGTCACCATCTGCCAACCTCTCCCAGGCCTAACTTTAAAGACTCAAAATTTCCGTCTAAACAGTTTTTCTTATGTTTAGACGGAATCACCAAGCAGAGTCCATTTCTCCAATGACTTCTTTGTTTATCTGCTTCCCAGAGGGAGGTCGTCTCCAAATCCTCTAAGGCAGACTGAGGAAGAGGTTAAATGGTTGGATTATACACCTAGAATATAACAGATATTTAATGAGGCCTATGATGTGCCAAGCACTTAAACAAGCATTATCTTAATTCATCTTCACAACACCCCAATGAGATAGGCCTTGTAGCATCCCATTTTACAGATGAGGAAATTGAGGATCAGCAGGGCCATTGCCTCAAGTAAAGGGTCAGGAGTGGTTTGAACTAGGCAACCTGGCTCCCAGGCCCACACTCTCTTCATCTCTTCTCTGCTGACTCTAAGCACTTGGGTTGAGTTTTTCTTACCCTGAGCCAGTTGAATCATTCTGTGTAATGTCTGGCCCCTAAATTTGAGACCCTTGGGTGGCCGGTTGGGGCCACACCCCTGTAGTGACTATGCAAGGAACACAGCTCACTATAGACCAGAGCTTCATCTCACTCAATTCTCATCACCCACAACTTACAAGTGAGGAAACTGATAAAGTGATGGTTCTAAGGCGCAAAGGAAATGAGAAGTCAGGCTTGGAAGCTGGGGCTCTGCTCAGAGACCAGGAACAACATGCTACACCCGTTAATATGAAAAACTCTCCGCCCTACCCCAGCAGAGGCTTTTATACGCAAGTCCTAGGGTTCGCGTGCAGGCACAAGCCCAGCCTTTATTTTGGTTTTGCTCCATCCAGACCAGGTAATGCAAGATTTGTTGTGCCGCACCTTTGGAAAACCGCAGGGATGTGCCTTTGAAGGACCCAGCCGCCTTTATTTTAGTTGTCTTAATATTTGCCTGAGAAGACTACACCATAACGGTACTTGTTTTTGGCATTTTTTCCTTCACCAGCAATTGAGAGTAAAAGTGGAAGCCTCTCATAAAAAAAAGTCTTTAAAAGGTTAAATGTTTGGGGGCACATGAGGCATTTGTTTGGGCAGCTACACCTATAAGGGGTCCTTCACTTCTGACTCCGCTAGTTTCGGAAAACGGGCAGAAGCGGCTGCCAATGAGTCGCGCCAAATAGCAGAGGGGGCAGGATTAGCCCTTAAAGGTGCCGCGACCCGTTAGCAAATCGGAGTATGATCTAGATGATGGCGGCCGGGGCGGCCCTAACCTTGACTCTGTGGCTACTACTGCCGTCAGTGGGGGTGGGAGGGGCAGGACCCCCACCGATCCAGGACGGCGAGTTCACATTCCTGCTGCCTGCGGGGAGGAAGCAATGTTTCTACCAGTCTGCTCCTGCCAACGCAAGCCTCGAGACCGAGTACCAGGTACAGAGGGTCCCGGTCTGGGGAGCGAGGGGATCCAAGAAGAGGGGGTGTGGCCACGCAGCTACAGGAAGGCTTGCATTGAACAGGGAAGGGACTGGAGCGTCGGGGAGGAATCTGAGTCAGACGGAGGGGGCGGGCACAGCGCTTAGGACCGGAAGGGGTAGGGATAACGGGTGAAGGCGGGGCTAAAGACAGCCGGGAGGCGGGCCATTGGGAAATAGAGCCCTTTATAGGGCCTGACTTTCCCGTGGGCGTGGCCAAGGCGTGTTGGATTGGGCTGGTGGGCGTGACCAGGGCAGGCTGAGAGAAAGGTCTGGATCAGCTGGAGAATTTTGGGGGGTCTTGGGCTAAAGGCTAGACTGGTTGTCTCATTTGGGGCGTGGCAAGTCAGGGGCGTGGCCAAGTAAAAGCTGATCAAGGACTTCGGACGGGGGCGTTACCAGACGAAAGAGTTGATCCCAAAGCTGGCATATCAGTGAGGGCGCAGCCAAGGCAATGATCACCGCCTGGAGGGAGGACGGGTGGGAATTGGACCCGGTTGCGTTGTGGGTGTCAGTGCTCGAGTGGGTCCCTAGTGGTCTGTATAGGTCTGCGCGGTGGTCCAGCCCTAGCTATCTCTGGTAGGTGCTCTTGGCCTACCCCTAACCCTTCAACTGCTCTTACCTGCCCCCCAGGTGATCGGAGGTGCTGGGCTGGATGTGGATTTCACGCTGGAGAGCCCTCAGGGCGTGCTGCTGGTCAGTGAGTCCCGCAAGGCAGATGGGGTGCACACGTGAGTTCAGTCCTGCTGCCTGCTAGGGTTCGATTACAGCCCTGCCCCTCCCCAGCAGCCTCCGGTTACCACCCTGTTTCGCAAAGTCCGGCTGGCGGCCATTCAGGGTCATGTCTGTGTGTCTGCCTATCTGCCCAGGGTAGAACCCACGGAGGCTGGGGACTACAAGCTGTGCTTTGACAACTCCTTCAGCACAATCTCCGAGAAGTTGGTGTTCTTCGAACTCATCTTTGACAGCCTGCAGGACGATGAGGAGGTCGAAGGCTGGGCAGAGGTCGTGGAGCCTGAGGAGATGCTGGATGTTAAGATGGAGGACATCAAGGTGCACCCAAGCTGAGATGGAGCTACTCCTTTCCAGATCTCTGGCTTTGGGCTACAGTGTGTCCCTGCCCTCCAGCCTTGGCTAAAGCCCTTCTTGGCCTGACCTAGCCTTTCTTAGCAGTGGTGCCTCCAACTTATATTAATAGTAGCAGCTCACAGTTAAAAATAATAGCACATTTCTAGGTGTAAACCCTGATTTTAAGGTCTTATGTAATTCATTAAATCTCCATAACCATCCTATAAAATAGTGTGCTCAAATCATCCCCTATTTTACTGAGGCACAGGATGGCTAAGTAATTGTCATAAGGCCACACAGCTAGCAACTGGTAGAGCCAATATTTGAACCCAGGCAGTCTGGCCTCAGTAACTGTGTTATCCCCTAGTAAATACATTCTTTAAATTTATTTAAGCATTCAATTCTCATAATTCTGAGAAAGAAATTGAGGCCCGGAGAGGTTAATTAATTTGCTCATGTTTTCACAGCCAGTGAGTGTCAGAATGAGGATTTGGACTGGGGCAGGCAGTCTGGATAGTCTGTGCTCTCAGTTTTCTCTCCCCCTGCAACACAGACTCTCACCCCAGTTTCTCATTTGATTGGTCTCTGCTCCCCAAAGGATGGAGGCCTGACTCTGCTCCTCCCTTGTTCTACAGGAGTCTATTGAGACCATGAGGACCCGTCTGGAGCGCAGCATCCAGATGCTGACACTGTTGCGAGCCTTTGAAGCACGTGATCGCAACCTGCAAGAGGGCAATCTGGAACGGGTCAACTTCTGGTCGGCTGTCAACGTGGCTGTGCTGCTGCTAGTGGCTGTGCTGCAGGTCTGCACACTCAAGCGCTTCTTTCAGGATAAGCGCCCTGTGCCTACGTAGCCCCTGCCCCTGAAGGAAGAACATGGAAAAGGAGTGACAGCAGGGTGCATGTGTGTAAGACTTGTGTGTGGAGAGTCCCTTCACCAACTTAGTTCCTATGGGAGATGAGGCTGTACATTCTGGGTGTGAGATGTGGCCCCTGTGTGTCTTCCCTTTCAGGCCAGAACACTGGCTGGCTTGTAGGTCTAGGCCATCCAGAAGGGTGGCTTAGTGGCTGCATGTACTTTCCTGGAAATTGTGCACAGGGTGGGGAGGGCACTGCAGCATTTGGATGCAACCCTGGGGTCCCTGGCCCCGCCTCTGTCCCTACTATAAATGTGCCTTAGCCTGAGCCTTTCAGCTGTACCACCACTGCCTGGTGCTGGATGGGGCCCAGAAAGCAAGTGTCCCTTTCCCTTCCCCACTGGCCCTGTGAGTCAGCTGGAGGTGGAAGGAAGCTTGCTGCTCATAGGACCCCATGCCTTCCCTCCCCCTCCTTGTCACTCCGCCTGGGTCCTGTTGCTGCTGCTGAGGGTGTTTGCTCATGCCAAGGGTTGGGAAGGAAACTCAGCAGCAGTGTTCTTGCCAGGACAGTCACTTTATTAACAGGAAGGAGCCGGCCCCTTGGCCCAGCAGGGGCTAGGTGTGAGGTCCAATAACAGAATTCCAGGAACGGAGCCTGCGAGACAACCTGCCCCTTCTGCTCCCCCTGCAGGGGCCCAAGGCAGTTCTGAGGGATGGTCTGGCCAAAGCCTGCATAGGAGCCTCACAGAACAAAGGCTGGTCTGGGCTGGGGACTGGAGCCAATAAATTATGGTCAGAAAATCACAGAGCCTGGTGACTGGGGTTCAGGGACACGAGCCAGATCAGACCTGCCCCCAAGAGGGCAGGCAGAAGGGGGGAGGGATCTCCCACGAAGCTCAGAAGAAGGGTCTGGCAGGAGCCGACGGAGGTGGTCGCCTGGGCATAAGAGAAAAATCAGAAAGCAAAGTTGAACTGTGTCCCCGCTGGGCCAGAAGGCCTGGGGCCCTGAGAGGGGGAAGAGGGGACTTGCAGGAAGTGCTCAGGGCTTTAAGGTGGGGACAGAGGCTGACCACTGCACAGTCTGGGGTGGAGAGCTAGGACTCCCTCTCCCCTCCGTGATTCTGATGCCCGCCCCAGGCTTCTGTGTGGTATAGTGAGGTGGGGCGGTGGGGGATACTGCCTCCACTTTTGAGATGTTACGGAAAGTAAAAGCTTTCCCTTCTAGAGTATGGATTCTTCTGGAAGAAATGAACCCTCCCCACAAGAGCAGAGTCCCCATGAGTGACGTGTGGGGGAGCCCATGGTGGGACGGATGGGGGCCTACTTGAAGGCCTCTGGGGGAAAGCAAGCAGCCCACGTCCTCAGCCTGAACGCCAACACAAAAGGCCCACACAGCAGCCACTAGAAGCGTCTTCCCTTTATTTTAGTTTATTAATAGGATACAGAGTGCAGGCACTTACAGTGGTCAAAACGAGCGAGCAGTGAGCAAGGTCTGCTCGGAGAGCAGCCACCTGGGTCCACCCCGTGTGGGAGGCCTGGGTGGGAGCCAAGGGGCCCCCAGTCTCCTTACCCATTCAGCCCTGAGCCCGGCCACTCTGGGGACCCATGAGAGAAGAGGGCTGAAGGAAAAGAGAGAGTGAGGCCTGCAGAGCTGAGGGTTCTGGACCTGGCAAAGGCACCTGTGGCAGCCAAGGCTGGGCCGTGTGGTTAGTACGGCCAAGAAAGGAGTATGTACAACTTGGGCGGGGCAGGCAGCACTGGACCCACTCCTGGCTTACCACCAGGAGCTCCTGCTGCTGAGAAGTGTCTACATCACTTGTACCCCAATAAGGACCAGGGGTACAGGTCTCCTTGGTGCCCAGTTTCTAGAAGGCCTGGTCTGCTCAGGCTTTCTAGGCCAGAGAAGCCCCTGGGTAAGTCCACCCCAAACTAGCTGGGATACCTCACCACAGATGGTGCTCAGGATCCAGTTCCTTCTGCTACCCAACACCTCATCCCCCAAAGTGCAACACCTAAGGTCCTCCCACACAAGGGCTCCAGGGCCCCTTCATTCAGTGCTATGTCCAGATGGGGATGGGGGCCAGGCCAGCCCCTGACTGGACCAGGGTTAGGAAAGAGTTGGGGAGCCTGGTCCTGGTGCAGGGACAAGAGGGCCAGGGACGGCAGAGGGGCCCAGACCACTGAAGCTCCTGCACCAAGGGTGCACAAGAAACCCCCAAGAAAAGCCCCTGCAGCCTAGTCGAGCAGGGACGGCTCGGCTGGGCGGATAATGGTGGGCCGGCTGGGCGCAGCCGGGGGTCTTCTGCTGCAAAGAGAATAAAGACAGACAGGGAGGGGGAGACGGCAGTGAGGCTGCAAGCAAAGGCAACGGTGACAACCCAGGCCCCACCACCCTATCCCAGGCTGCTGCCCTTTGCTAGATGCTCTGAAGGCTGCCAGGATGCCAGGAAGGAGTTTGCCAAGCCTAGGCATTGGTACCCCTGCAGTCATTCACTTGCTCTGTGACCCCGGACAAGTCCCCCACCAGCCCTGAACCTCAGGTTCTCCATGGGACAAGTGGGGAGAAGAGAGCTTGGCCTGCAAGGTGGGGAGAGGAGGGCAAGGTTATGCCATGACTGATGTGTGTCCTCAGTAAGGAAGCAAAGGCCCAACCCCCATGTGAGGGCTCCAAGCTGGATGGACAAGCTTGGAGCCTTGGAGTCACCTGACTCTACCACTCCATGACTTTGGGTAGTCAACTTGGCTTCTCTTGGCCTCAGTTTCCCCACCAGTCAAATGTAGATGCTGGTTACGACTCTATTCCCTGTAGGGTGCAGGCCAGTGACTAGATGGTAGGCAATGAGGGGCCAGCCTTACCTGGGTACTCCAGGGGGAATGCCGGGTGGAATCCGAGCAGGCCGAGATGGGATCTGGGGCGGGGCCGAGAAGGGGTCGTTATTGGCAAACACACTCTGGGGTCCAGGCCGGGACGGGATGGGAGGCGCTGAGAAGGAGGCTGCTGCCCCCACCGGCACAGGTATCAGGGGAGGCCCTGGGGTGGAACCCCTCACTGCTGGGGGCCGGCTTGGGGGGTGCACGCTGGATAAGGGTCGGCGCTGTGGAGTGGGGCTGTGGAAGAAAGAAGGTGTGGGCTGGAAACTGCGGTCAGGAACACCAGGCTGGCACCAACCACCACCCAGGGAGATGTGGGTAAACGCCTGGACCTGGGCAAGAGGCAGTGCAGGTGCGCTGGGCTCCTCTGCCCACCCCCCAGATGGACCTGCTAGAGATGGCCATCCTCTCACCCAAAAACCTGTCCTTGGCCAGGGGCTCCTGCTTCCTGACCTCACTTTCAGAGACATTTCTCTCTCTTTGGCCCTGCTTGGGCCTGCCCTCCGTGCTTCCTCCAATCCACCCTCCATAATTGAAAATCCTACCGGAGCCCAGCTCTGCCCTACATATCGAGTCCACATGCCTCCGGAGGCCACAAGCCCCTGCCCCAGGTGCCCCATGGGACACCCCTGGGCCCGCTGCTCTCCAGGCTGGATGCTGTTTCCTCTCCCTAAGGGTCTCCCTGGGGTCTCAGTGGGGCTGCTACCTCCTATGACATTTCCCTGACCTATCCTGCTCTCTCCTCCCACCACTTGCACACCCCTGCACTGGTTAGGTTTCCCTGCCAGCTACTATGAATTACCCACACCGCGGTCTCATTTCCATCTAACAGCTCAAGGAAACTTGGGGGAAGGAGATGTGCTGGTTATGTCCTGTTTGTCCTTCCAGATCCTCCCCCACTCACCATTCTTGGTCATGCTCTGTGCCCCAGGAGGCTGACCCCCATGGCTGGTGTTGCCCAGGCCTCTTGTCTGGGTTTCATTGTGCCGAAGCAATGAAAGGCATCAGGAGGCAGGCTGTTCTTTAACTGTTTTCTCTCCCGGTCCCTTCAGGCTGAGGTGGGCTAGCAGCTCCCACTGTGACTAGCCCTGGGTGCTGTCCCATCTGGGTTGGACCCCTTTACCCTGCCCACCCGTGGGTTGGGAGAAGAGCTAGGAACCCCCCAGGCAGCAGCCTCTACAGCAAATGGGTGAGCAGGCGTCAAGGACCTGTGGCTGTTGGTGCTCTGGAGCCAGGTGTCATCAACAGGTGGGGGCACGGGCGTAGACACGGTGCTGGTGCTGATGTCCCCGATTATGTTGAGCGCCTCCTTGAGTGCGTGGTACATGCGCAGCATGTCATCCCTCCTCTGGGCCTGGTCAGCTGACTCTTCCATGAGGCTGGTCTGGTCTGCCGATGAGTATAAGTAGGCCAGCAGCTCGTGGTGGATGAAGGCCTTCGTCTAGGGGCAAGGGTCAGAGAGGTCAGGGCTTCCCACCACACCAACCATGTACTCAGCTGACTATTCTGACCGGCTGGAAAAGCATCCACCACTCTAGGTAGGTCTTTCTTTGTCTTCGTTGTAGAGCATGTAAGATGTTTAAAACACAGGTGAGCTTTCTACCTGGCTGGCTTCCGAGTCCCTCGGGGATGCTTTCAGGCGTTCTTCCAATCTGTTTCAGGAGATTCTTATTAAAGGTATTCCTAGAAGCATATCTCTTTTCTTACTGTCTTTTCTCCTATCACTTTATCTTCAAACTGGCTTTTGCTTCAAAAAACTACAGCAGGCCCTCTAATAATGTCTGCTGTCATTTGATTGTATCATTGATGCAATTTCCTAGGAACCTAACCCTTATTTATATATACCAATTGGCCTATGGTGTTTTTAAAATTTGAGTACGGTTGGTATACAATAGTATATTAGTTATATTAGTTTTAGGTGTACGTAATTAGCCTATGGAAAAATTGTCTTCGTTTTAAGTCATTTCACTTAAAATTGTAGAACCTATCTATAGAGCTGAGGACTTATTGCACTAGTTTTTCTGTTCATTAATTTTATACTTTGTTCCTGAATCCTCCTACAGGATACGAGAGTTCTTCAGTTACTCTTCTTGGGATATCTAGGTAACATTATGTGTACATGAACTTCAACAAACATGAATAATTTTTCCTATTCTTTTTTAATGTGCACACGTCTACATTATTTTTCGACTGCGCTGACTAGTAACTCAACAGGAAGTTTAATGGTGGAAATGGCCAACTTGTTCTTGCTTTTAGGGGGGATGCTTCCAAAGCACGCCCACTACGGTCAAGAGTGGCTTGAGACTGAAACCCATCTATTTAGTGGATATGAGACACCTCATAGCAGAAGACACTGCCTACAAATTGTCTATATTGGACATCTTCTCAGACTTTCACTATCTTCGAAGATGACCACACTCTATAGTTTCTAAATGTGACTGCATCAGCTGTTCAAACATCTGCATTTTGAAAGAGTGGTAAAAGAAAAGATAAAACAGAAAGGTACAGCACAAACTCCTTTGTCCACACCAGCCTCCTCAGCCCCCCTGAAGTCCTGGGAAGCAACAAGAACCACGTTCTTATACAAACTTCCAGAGATATGGATGCATACAATGTATATGTATTTCCCCTCCTTTTAAACACAAATGGAGTCTTCCTGTATACTGTTATACTCCATACATTTCCACTTCATAATGAAAGTTATTATAGCAAAGGCAACGGAGATATTTCTCATTCTTTTTTCTTTTTGTGATACGATTGATATTTATTAAATGGATTCTATTAAAAGGATAGAGATTTCAAACCTTTGGCCACCACAAAACAATGCTGAAAAGCATAACCATGCATGTGCTCAATTGGCATGTGGGCAAATGTCTCTGTGTGGGAACTTCCTTAAGTAGAACTGCAGGGTCAAAGCATAATGCATTTTATATTTCAGGCTGCAGAACCTTATAAGTTTCATCTATCTGTGAAGAATATCCCAGGGCACCCACAAAACTGAACACTGATCCCCACTGAGAAGGAGACTGTGAGAACTGGAATGGAAGGGAAGGGACTTGAGATTTTTGCTTTAGACCCTGTCATAGTTGCAGCTTTTATAGTCACAACACAAATCAGAGCTGGTCTACGTAGCTTTCTGAGCACCTACCGCCATGCAGGAGGCCTAAAATGGGAGGCAATTAGTACAGCCGCATTTTGCGAAAGGGAAAACTGAATGAGAGGCTTGCAAGCCTCAGGGCAAGCGTGTCCCACTTAAAGTAAAGGTGGGCTGGGCTGCAGGCCATGAGGAGGCCAAGGCTGCCAACACCGGGCTACAGCTGGGGACAGACCCAGCCTGGCTTTGAGTCTGTCCCCAGCTCCCACTCTTTAAGAGTGAGGTCCCACCTCCCACTCTTCTGAGTGTTGGGGCAGGTTTCCTGAACTCTCTGGGCCTCCATTTTCCTGTCTATAAAATGAGGATAGTAATCCCTCTCCCAGGGTTATTGTAAGACTAAACAAATTAATTCAGAAGAAGCTCACGTGTCACATTAGCTTGAATTACCTGATAAATGGGAGTGTGAACCCTGTGTGGCCTGTACCTTCCAGTTTCCCAGAATAGGCTGGGAATCCAGACTGTGATGTTTAAACAGTGGTGACTAACTCTAATCCCCTGGTCCCTGCCTGTGACCAGAGGCTTACGTTGTTGATCATGAGGTGCATGATGGTCTTTGGCATGAGGTCGCGGATGGACTTGTTGATGATAGCCACGTAGGAGTCCACCAGGTTGCGAATGGTCTCCACCTGGCGCTCCAGCTGCGGGTCCATGGAGAAGGTGTTCTCCTGAATTCCATCCTCATTTTCTGCCTACAAGGTAGCAGAGATGGTGAGGGTGACTGCAGCCTAAGGAGAGTGTGGGGAGCCCCCTTCCCTGGAAATTGCTTGCCCTGTCCCACCCACGACTAACCCTCCAAGGCTGGCTCCCGATGGCTGTGTAGGCACCATGTGGCCCTGCCTGCCCCTGGCCTGAGCTGCTTAGACCTGGGGTAACCAGAACCCCCTTTGGGAGGCGAGATCCTCTTGAGGACTGAAATGTGTTCATTTGGGGACTGAGGGTGGCCATGTTCACTCTACCTCAAAGAGGGAAGGAGAAGAGAGAACAAAGCGGATGGGATCCCAGTCCCTATTCATCCCTGTCTTCGGCTTCAGTTGGAGAACCTTCTGGGCCCTGACGACAAAATCCTCCCCCACCTTTCTGTTTTGTTTGCCTGAGGATACGGGCTACATGCCTTCAGTGAGTTCTGGCAAATACAGCCCGAAAATGACCCATCCTGTGAGACCCCAGCTCCCTTCCTCCCCCAGGGTGGGGGCAGCTCAGCCAATGATGTGCTGGCAAGGCAGGGCGCGGCCACTGCTCACCTGGTCCTTCTCAGGGTAGACACCGGCTCGGAGGAATGAGGCCTTCCAGCTGTCCACATCCTCCTGAGAGTCACAGGCCAGCTCGATCTGCCGCAGGTCCTTGTAGACGTTCCTGTGATGGAAGAGAGAGGCACATGCTCAACCTGGACTATGGGCCCAGCTCAAGTGTAGTAAGCTCTGGGGTCTGAATGACCGGGATTCACATTTGACCCAGACACTCAAAACCACAGGCCCCAGGAGGGTGGCAACATCCGCACCCTGTCCTGTCTCACAGGGCAGGCACGGCTGAGACGACCAAGCTACTCCAAAGTCTTTGTGAGATGTGGGTTAGGCATGGCGCAGTGGCAGAGCTCTGGCCAACTGGTGTCAGTGAGTGGCTGCTTTGAGGGACTTCTGGAAGGAGTTGTGAGGGGAGAGGCATGCCTTTGTTACATCTCTCCCTCTTCCCCGATGCTTGCAACATCATCAGGATGGCTGAAGTTTGGGCAGTCATCTTGGACAAGGAGGAGGAAGGCTGAGGAATAGGAAGGCTTGGGCCCAGGTGCCTGTGGAGCTGCCCCACCTGCCCTGGATGGTCAAGTCTTGACTTGATTTATATAAAAAAACAAGAACATCTACCTATTTCTGCTACTGTTATTTTGGGTTTTCTGAACTTATAAACAATCTATCAGGTTATATCTTCAACCCCCTGTACAGGAGGGTTGACACTGGGCCAGGTGCCCGGTGTCACTCTGCCAGAAAAAGCTTCCCAACAGGTCCATCCCACTGCAGGGCCCAGGCTGTCTGGGCAGAGGAGGGAAGATGATGAGGCTAAAAGAGCTACAGAGGTTTTTGAAGCCAGCTGATGGCCAAAGTAGGTCTTTGGGGCAGCTTAGAAAAAAGCAAGACAGAGCTTTTCCTACACAAAGCAAGGGACTCAGCTGGAACTGCTGGTGCAGATGAGCAGTGGCGTGGTGGTCCTGGGAGGATGAGCTGGGAGAATGTCGTTCACCTGCCAGCTGCTCATGCAGAGCTACTGGGTCTTGCATGACACCTAACCGCTGATGCAGGTGGTCTCTGGTTCCTGGACGAGGGGGTATGTGTGTGAATCTGGGGGGCTGCCTTTTCTTGTGCTAAATAAAGTCTCCCACCAACACCCCAGGAGACAGATTTACCAAGAGCCTCCTTGTCCCGTCTCCATCTCCAATCACTCAGGGATCTCATTCTGTCCCATGACTATAAACAGCACCGTACAATCACAACCCACCAATTCACACCCCTTCCTAAAGCCTGTACTGACCCAGCTGCCTCCCCAATCCCCACAGGCCTCTGCCTCGGCGTGGCTCAAACCTAGCTCCTGACTGTCCCCTGGCCTGGCCTGCCTCCACCTTCCTCATCACAGCCGATGGCTGCTCCTTCCCTGCAGGAGCTCAGGGCCACCAACAATGCCTTTCTCTCTCTCTACATCCATATGCACCAGGAGTTTGGTAAACTCTATTGGAATCTGCCCCTGCTCTATGTCCTCAGCAGAACCCAGATCCAGCCCCACCATCTCCCACCTGGACCAGCACAGTCTCTTGGTACTTGGTTCCTAGGTTCCTGTCAGCCCCAATGTCTGTCTCTTTTTTAAAATTTTTATTTACTGTTTTTTAGAGAGAGGAAAGGAGGGAGAGAATTATACATTTGTTATTCCACTTATTGATGCATTCACTGGTTCTTTTTTAATATTTTATTTATTTATTTTTAGAGAGGGGAAGGGAGGGAGAAAAAGAGGGAGAGATACATCGATGTGTGGTTACCTCTTGCACACCCCCAACTAGGGACCTGGCCTGCAACCTAGGCATGTGCCCTGATCAGGAATTGAACCGGCAACCTTTTGGTTTGCAGACCGGTGTTCAGTCCACTGAGCCAGACCATCCAGAGCTCACTGGTTGATTCTTGTATGTGCCCTGACTGGGGATCAAACCCACAACCTTGGTGTATCTGGATGATTCTCTAACCAACTGAGCTACAGGGCCAGGGTCCCATGTCTGTTTCTCCCACCACCACCAGAGGGCACCTGCGAGCACCTGAGTCAGGTCCTGTCCCTCTGTTTAGACCTTCCAGGGCTAAACATCATTTCATCTCAGTCTTTCTGCCTGACCACACACTGAAAGTGCCCCTGGTATTTTTGTTTCTCATCTGACTCCCTTTCTAGAACATGATGCCCTAGTGCAGGGACTATAAATACACCTCAAGTGCTCAGTGGATGCTGCTGAATAACCGAAGGAAGTCACAGGTCTTCACCCTCGGACCCCATGGGTGCTCACCTCTGCTCCGTGTTGAAGATGGCGAAGACATGCTTGTTGGACATGAAGCCCTTTTCCACGTCACGGATTTTGAGGTTATCCAAAGGCAGCATGTACTTCTTCTCTTTCTCCTGAGGGCAGAAGGGCACGGGTCACCCTGCGCTATTTAACTGAAGACCTGAGGTTGCTCAGGGCTGGACTCTGCTGCAAGGACTACTGCCAACACTTGCTGTGTCCCGTGTTAGCCACTGCACTCAGATGAGCTCATCCATCACTGCTGCCCCTGGCCCCAGACACGCCGGCCTCCTCAACATCCCCTGAACATCCTAGGCAAGCTCCTATCCAGGACCTTTGCAATCTGGGACCTCTGCCTTGGAACACCCCATGCCTCTGTGGCTCCCTCCTTGACAACACCTGCCCTGACCTCAGCCCACCATCCTCCCGGCCCTACTTCTCCCCCTGGTGCTTCACAACACAACACAACACAACACAACACAACACAACACAACACAACACCACACCACACCTCTATCTTGCTTTTTGAACTAGGTTGCAGTCTGTCACCCAAACTGACCCCTCAGTTCCTGTCCATTTTGGTTACTGCTGACACAGAGGACACTCAAAACTGGCCAGCTCTGACTCTCTCCAGTTCCAACCACTTCTCTCCTCCGGGCTGAGGAAATGAACTGTTAACTCAGCTACCTCGTCACAGTGAGCCTGAAAGTGAGCTACCACTGTGCTCCCATTTACAGAGGAAGACAGGGGCACAGAGAGAGGCAGGCAGGGGATCAGGTGCAGGGATGGGGTTTCAGATGATCCAGGAGCTGATGCCTGAGCCCCAAAGCCACAGAGGACACATGTCACTCACTTCCTAAGGGAATTTTCTTTTAGGAAGTACCTACTGATAGCTGCTGGGGAAGCAGCCCAGGGGGAATGGGTCCTTCCGCCAGGAACGTGGGCTTGGCAAGTGGCACTCTGGGACCCAGTGCTCACCCAGTCATTGGCTAAGCATCTACAGGGCCAGGGCATCACTGTTAGTCCTCACAGGAGCCAGGTGTGCACATGTACTTGCTATCTGGGTTTTCACATCAGGAAACCAGAGCATGGCATCAGGGTTCTCAGCTCCCACACCCAGGTGACCCACAGCAGCTTAAGGACCAAGGACTGACATGAAGTGCTGCTCCTCCTCCAGCTCATGGAACCCTCCCCAGCCCAACCACGGATGCATCTGCTAAGGGAGGGGAGCTGGCTGCCAGGGCCACACAGGGACCTGTGCCCCAAATTAGGTTCTCTCCTCAGCTCTCCTAGCCTTTCACTTCCTGGGTGACTTCAGAGGAGAGACCTGCCCCCTCACCCAGCAGTTTGCTTCTTTCCATCTCTCAGGTCCTTGTGTGCCAGAAAACCACAGAAAGAAGCCCAGCATGGCTACTGCTTTCAAATTCAAGGACAGCCACAGTGATGGATGGGGCTCCCTGGTGAATGGGTATCGGCTTGGAGTTTCAGAACACACAGGAGTCTGCATCAGGCTTGGTATGTGCATGGGCTGTCCTTTGGCACTGGAAGCAGAGCTTGTCCTCCCTAACCCTGTGCCCTTGGACAAGCCACTTCCACTCCGCCTCGGTCTCTGCCTCTGTCAAAGGCAGACAGGAGTCTTGCCCTCCTTGTTTGAGGTGAGAATTGATTCTCTGTGTCAAAGTGCTGACCCCGAGAGGCAGTGCTTCTTTTGTCTCTCTCTCTCATGGTTCCAGGGTCAGCCTACCAAGCTCTGGGCAGGGAGGAAGCAGGACACAGAGGCTCTCCAGGCCTCCAGACGAAGCATCAGTGAGGCAGGGAGAGGGGCCCAGTGCCCCGGAAGATGGGAGTCCCACCCTCCCATTCGGGCTACAGACTTGGAGCCTAAGGGAAGAAGGGCGGTGAAGACAGGGTGTTAGCAGTGGTCCCAGGAAGTTTGGGGAGCTTTAGAAGAGGCCAGGGTGGGAGTACTGACTGGAAGTTTGTGGAAAGGGTTTCACTGCCCCCACTCTGCTGTGTCATGAGGCAGGAAGCTTCTAGTCAGCCAGCCAGGCCAAGTAACTGAGTCACAGTCCTTTTGGACCCTGAGCGAGCTGCCACATCTGGAACTGTTTACAGTGAGATTCCGCCCAGAGCACAGCGGCTGCCTTCCTGATGCTGCCAGTGAGTGTGCGCACGCGCGCACACACACACACATATACACAGCCGTGTGTGCGCCCGCCCCCACCCCGACCCCCAAGGAAACTGTCTCCCGCACGAAGAGGCCACGGACTCAAACCCTCCTTCCCAACCTCCCCCGCCTTAGGATTTCCTGAAAACCAGATGCAAGCCAGCCCAGCCTTGCCACGTCAGAAAAGCTAGAGCGGGTTGTCACGGATGGAGCAGTGGCTTCCTTGCCTTGCTCAGAGGTGCTGAAGCACAGTGGCCCTGCCGCTGCCTGGGGGGCCCGCAGGATGGACAGCCAGCCCCGCCAACCCAGTGTTCAGACTACCTGTTCAGGGGGCTCTGAATGTGTACAGTAGTCTGCACATTGGTTAGGCTGGGCTTGGGCCAGCAGCACATCGGGACAGGGACCCCCCAAACTTGCTGCCATCCTGCAGAGGCAGAGCTGGAGGTGAGTGCAATCGCCCACCACCCTGTTTCCCACTGGGCTGGAGACCTGGATGGGAGGTTCTGGAGTCCAGCAGAAGGGCCTGGGTGGGGGAAAAGGCTTCAGGGAAGGCAGAGGGAGCCCCTACACCAGTTGTGAGGTTGGGGGCCTTGGCTGACCACCCCCCTACTCCTACCTCTTGCTGTAACCGCCTCCTCTTGTTTATTTTTTAAAATAAAGAAACGGGTGTCCTGCCCCCCTCTTCAAGGAGGCTCGGCCCCAGGGAGTGGCTGCCATGTGTGACTCGGAGGGTCCCGCTGGGTTCCTAACATGAGCAGGGGCACAGAATTTCGCCCCCTACCCCTCCTGAGCTGAGCCTGCTTTGTGTCTGGGGCACACACAAGGCCCCTTTCACACAGGCCTGCTGGTTCTCATTACCGCCGGCGGGTATTCAACCCTCCTCCCAACACTCCCCTGCCTCCGTGGCCCCACGGGAGAGTCTGGGGCTCCTGCTTTCAACCCTCAGGTGAGAGATAAATGAAGGGCCTTTCCTGGAGTCCAAGAAGAAAAGCTTAGGAAACGACTTGCAACGGCGACCAGCAGTGAACCGGGCTGAGGGTGGAGCCCCGCAGCCCCTCTACGACGGCCCAAGACCAGCACCAGGTCCTGGGGACCCCCAAGCCCAAAGGCAGGGACCAGCCCTGAGCTTGCCTGACAGCTGACAAACCACAGAGCAGGCTGGGTTTCAGACTGTGGGGGCGGAGAGGGAAATAATGTGAAAGCATCACCCTACCCCTCACCCGGCCATTTTAGGGAGCTGATGTGGCCACGAGGGTCCCTTGAGGAACGCCTGGTCTCACCCGCCCTCCACATCCAAACCCACAAAGCTGTGGGGTCCCGGACAACCCCCTGCCTTTGTTTAAAAATAGCCACCTAGACAGGGTCCCTCCCCTTTGGGGACTCAGAGCTCCTGTGGTATCTGGAACACCCAGGGGTGTGTGTCTGGCTTCGTGGAAGTGGGATGGCTTCACCCCCAACACCCTCCCTTGGAGAAACGCACACCTGGCCTGGGCTGTGGGGCACTGGTCCAGCCTTGGGTCAGGGAGCTGGTGCCCTTTACCCATCCATGGGGCCCCTTCTCTGCTCTGTGACATGGGGCAAGTCACCAACTGGAGCCTGTTTTCTCACTGACAAAGTGTGAGGGTTTCCTCTCCACAGAGAGGTGGCCTCAGAGGGCTTCGAACACAAGAGAGCCAGCCAGGGGCCTCACGGAGCTCTACCTGCCTTGTCTCTGAGCCTGGGAGAAATACACACGATGGGGCCCAGGCCTGCCCGCCCTGGGCTGTGTCAGCTGCCAGTGAGGCCTCTGGTGCGGGCCACTTCTGAAGGGGGTCCTCCCAAACCCCTTAGGGGAGGACACCCAGGAGGAGAGGCTCCAGGGGTGACCAGAGAAGCTTAACTTCTCCGAGGGCACCTGGGCGGGGTTGCTGGCTATGCCCTCCCAGATGAGTAGGACACAGTGGCTGTGTGACTGGATCCTGGTCAGAGACACATGAACAGGGCAATACAGGCATGTTCTTGTAACACCCTTATTTCCCTTCTTGGGGCTGCTAGAGGCCACATGGTGATGGGCGCAGGGGCAGCGGACCATGAGGGGAGCCAAGAGTGAAGGTGGTAACAGAAAAACAGAAGCCTAGGCCTTGGGCAGCCTTGCAGCACAGGGCCACCAAGCTCACCAAGGACACGTACTAGTAACACACTTCTATCTTTGTAAATGCCTTCATTTTGGGTCTCTGTCACTGACACCTAACGCTGCTCTGGCCAACAGGAAGAGCCTGTGGCTCTCTCAGAAGGCAACCAAGGAAAATGAAAGGAACACAGTGCCCCTTGCTGGCAACCTTGACCTACAACAGCAGTCACGGGAACCTAAGGAATGCCTTCACAGTTACACTGTTCCACTGAGAGAGAAACGGGCCACGCAGGATGGGAGGCGGGCCAGAGAAGAGGCCGAGCGGGGACCTGACAGCAGTGCCAGCAGTGCTGCCAGGAGAGGCTCACAGCTCACGCCCCACCCCAGGTCTCGGAGACCACGGCCCCAAGCGGCCTGCAGTGCTGCTCCCTGTGGCCACTGTTCCTGGTGCTGTCCCTCTGTCCTGACCAGGACAGGCATGTGTGTCATGTTCCGAAGAGACACTACAGCTAAGTACCTCATGGTAGTTAGGGGCTGTTCTTCCCACTTCACAGATGAGGAAACAGAGGCCCAGAGAGGCTAAGGGCCTGGCTGAGCCCATATAGTCTGTAGACCACGGAGCCCCAGCAGCCCAGCAGCCTGGCTGTGAGCCTGCGTCCTTGGTCCCAGGCTGTGTTCCCTCTGAGCGCCAGAACCTCCCCTTGCTGTGCCTTTGGAGGCTGGAGTCAGTGTCCAGCCTACTGGTGGGTCCCTTCCCCATCCCCCTTTCTTCCACAGGCTGGACCCCACAGTGAGCCATGAGGGGCTGGAACAGGACATGCGATGCCTGGCATACCCTCTCGCCCTGGCTGTTACCATCCCACTGGTGAGCTCTGAGGCACAGTGGTGCTCAGAACCTTTCCTGAATGAACCAGTAAGCAAGTCAGTGAATGAGGAAATAACTGAATGAACAGTGCAAGAGCGAGTGACAAGTGAGCAACCACTGCTCTCACCCGATGGCCCCATCCCTAGCAGCCACTTACCTCCTCATCCTTGTACCAGGAGAGAGACTCGGCTGTCAGCACAAACCAGTACTCCTTGGAGCCGCCCTTCATCAGGCTGATGTTGTTGATGGTTAGCCAGCCTCTGCGGATCACCTGGGGAGAAGGGCACGGCTCAGTGGAGGACCCACCATACAGCCCAGCCCACCCCCAGCACTTCAGCCAGGCCCTCGCCCCAGCAAGGTAGGAAGCCAGGGACCAAGGCAGATACATCCAGCTCAGAGACAGCCAACCCGAGTTCACTTTGCCACAATCACTTCCCATTGGACACCAGTGTGGGGCACTTGGGTGGACAGTTGCTAACTCACTCACATGCCCAGGATGAGGTGACAGGGAATGTGGCCCCTAGAGTTAGGTTGAGTTAGCACAGATGGCAAAAGGTATGCCTGCTGAAAGGGGCCCAGAGAAGGAATGCCAGGCTTGTGTGTGGGGCCATGTCACATGGAATGTGACACTGGAAGTATTGTAATTAGGGTAGGAGGGTGCCATTGGGCCCTTCCCGCATGCTCTCTGGAAGGCAGCTATCAGTGTAAGGCTGGAAGAGTCACCCACACAATGAAGTAGCTCTTTCTCTCTCCTCTTTCAGGAGCCACGGGCAGAGGCTTGGCTTGCAGCCTTCACTCTGTTCTCTTCTCTGCTGGCTGATCTGCACGGGTCGCCAGGGCAGATGCTTAGGGGGCACAGTACCTACTTTGATGGCCCCCACCCCAGAGCTCCCTTCCCCGCCGGCTCTTTTCAGAGTATGAAGATGAAGGGATGCCTCCATCCAGAGCCCTGGGGTGAAGGTTTAAGCCCAGAGAAACTGCAGGGAATATTCTCCATGCTGGACTCAAGCCTCACAATCCCAGTTTTCTCTGCCCAACACATCAGGCTGAGAGACCCCCTCAATGGGCGTCATCAGGCAGTGGCTACCACCTGAGAGGCAGAACCCAGGCCTGCTCGGGGAACTCACCTGACAGCTAAACACAGGCAGCCTCCTGGGCCACAGAGGCATATGTGGGCCAGAGCCCCCCATCACTCTGGACTGGGGCAGTGGGCAGCATGTGCAGGCACAGGCAGTGCTGCCTGGGGCCAAGGAAGCAACAGACTAGGCCTACCTGCAGAGGGTGGGTGCGAGTAGCCACAAGCAGCTGGGAAGAGCTGGTGTTGGGAGCCCAGACTGGGGTGGAGCAAGAGCACTCTAGATGGGGCTTAGGGGATGCTTCTGGAGCCCATATGCCTTCCTAGTGGGCAGCTACCAGGAGGGGCCAAATCCTGCCCACTCTGACCTGCCCCTAAGCCTGCATAATCTTAACAGAGTGACCAGCCCCCAGCCCTCTCCCCTCCTGGAGCCGGACTTAGGCTCTCAGCCTCAGAGTGTCAAGACTGAGGTGGCCACACAGCACCCAGAGACCACTGCACCATGCAGAAGCCTCTGCCCAGGCTGGAGATGGCATGAGACACCACCTGGAAGCACTTATTAGGTGGAAGGCATAGGCTTCTCTCTCCCTGGGATCAGACAGCATTTTGGAGTCTTTCTGCAAGCAGGGAGCAGTGACATCTGGCACCTGCTCAGCCACAGGTTGTCTGGTGGGTAAGGGGGCAGAGGCTATCAGCCCCGTTAAGGTCATGGTATCTTCCCTGGCAGCAAGGTGACCAACTCGCCCATTTTCCCAGGACCCCCAGTTTATCACCAAAAGTCTCAAGTCATGGAGATAGCCACAGTCCCAGATAAAGCTGGGAGGCTGGTTATGCTGGGGTCAGGGATGGTTCCCGCACTCAGGTCCAGGGTGTTCCTGCCTAGGACCCAGGGAGAAGCCCCTGCACTTCATCCAGCCCCAGAGCTCCGGGCTCCGCTCACACCTGTTCCTCTACTCCCCGAGGGGTAGGCGGGGCCTGTCCTGGCCAGGCCCACAGAGTGGATATTTCTATCTAACCTTCAGGTCAGTCATTGATTGACAGTCAGGGGAGGGAAGATAAGGGCAGTGGAATGACAGGCTGTTAGTCCTCGCCAGAGAAATCCTCCCATGGGCAGACCTCCACACTCTCGGGCCCAGCCTGGATCCAAGGGGCAGCTATGTCCCATCCACCCCCTCCCTGGTGGTCTGGCTTGTCTTGTCTGACTCCACCCTCAGTCAATAGAGGTCTGAGCTGGCAGGCAGGGCCATGGCTGTGCTGCAGGGTGTGTGTATATGAGGCAGGGCCACAGCAGGAATGACACACCTGAGTCTTGGGGGCAGAAGGTTGCTGTCAGACCTGGAGAAGCCCCTGAGAGCTGTCTTGAGCCACCCAGAGAGCTGCCTTTATGGGAGCTTGACTGGGGTCAGAGACAGAACCTCAGTCTGGGGAGGTGCAAGCTGTGGGTGGCAAAGACAGGCGCTGAGTCTAGAGAAACAGGAGCACTTGGGCCTGCTCGTCCAAAAGGCAGATGTGCCCAAGGCAACTGGGTCAGAATGACGGGGGACAGGAGTGCTGTGGGCAGGGGAGACTGAAGAGGTAGGCAGGGCTCCCCCGCTCAATGGGGCACAGCAACAGGCAAGCTGGGGTGGGAGAACAGGCCACAGGGACAGCGTGGGCAGCAGGCGAGAAGCAACAGAGCTGGGGCCCACCGGCAGGAAAGGCCAGCCTCCTCCCAGAGGACGGTCACAGCCCTAGTCACCAAGGCAGATAAGGCAACCTTGGCTGGGAGACCCGGGACCCCTGGGCTGTTTAGAGGCAGGAAATCATTCAAGTTCAAAGAATGCTGGAAGTGACATGTGGGAAAGTGGAATCAGGGTGTAAGGACAATACATTCCTCTTTATCTTCCAAGAGAATTCTAGGCCCTTGGCACAACTGGCAAGATCCTGGGTTGCCCAGGAGATGCCTGCTAGAGGGCAGCAGTGGGACCCAGTGCCTCAGTGGCTGGTGGTCGCACACTACCCCGGAGGAGGCAGCTGTTCAGGATGGAGGCCCAGGCTATGCTCGCCAGGGTGTAGGGCCAGGGCTGAAGCCAGCTGCCTGGAGGCAGACACACTGAAAAGAGCTCAACTCTCAGATGTGATCAGCACCTGCTCCCCCTGGGCTGGGCCACACAAGGAGGAAAAGTATAACCCACAACAGGGATGGCAAATACCACTCATGTGGGGGCCATACCCATCAATGAGTAGGAGCTGCCTAAGTCCTATGGTAAGAATTCTAGTTTTAGTGGGAAAAATGCTGGGATCAACAAGTGACGTCTGCCACAGGTGAAGGGGGCAAGTAGAACAGAACAGCCTAATCCATCATGTATCTACCATAGAGGCAGGACAGTGGCAGCATCCAATAGAGTTGCCTCATCAATTAGTCATGTCTGTCGTGGAAGTGTGTCACATACAAAGCTATTGTGTGGGAAAAAATTCCCTGGGCAGTTAGTCACATCTGCCATAGCATGGGAAGTAGTGGCATGCTTAGGAAAGAATGCCAGGATTGGTTAGCAGTGTCTGCCATGGGCACATGACAGGGAGAGGCACAAGGGAAAGAGTGCTAGATCAATTAGTAATGTCTGCCATGAGCTCAGAAGTGGTAACTGGAGACAAAGTGGCAGCAGTGGACGTTCCAGCAGAGCTTGAGCAAAATTTTCCCTGAGAGGGATGTGAGGAGGGCGGGGAGGGGTATTAGCCAATTATTTGCCATCCCTGACCTACAGGAAACCAAGTCGACATGTTGGTAATGGGTTGGAGGGGTGGGCCTCCCATCAGGGCGGTCAGGTTAGTGTTTGCATGCATCAGCTAATGCCCAGGGCAGCGTGACACTGGGCACGGGTGGGGGGGGGTTAGGTTAGTTTTTTAGTTGCTTTTTTATTTTGAGGGGAAGGGAATGTTAAGGGGTGGGGGATCTCCACCACTTCTACATTCTCTAATGTTTGCTACCACACTAAGTGGGTACTTACCAAGATCTCCCCCTTTGAAAATGCAAAGTTAGGATTGTGGGTAAATCAAAGAAGAGCAGGTGGAGGAAAAGAGACATAAGGGACATGAGGGGATGGAGAAAAAGCAGGAAAGGCACAAAAATGGGAGGAGAGAAGAGCAGAGAAAAAAACAGCAAAAGAAAAAGTTACATGCTATTAATTATACTCATGATGTTAATATTTAATTCATTATCATCTCCCAAAACAAAAAAGCAACAACATACATATCTACAAGCACAAAAAAAATCATGCAGTGATCACACCCTTCTTTTCCAGAGGGCTCTATAACTGTGCAGGATAAATAGAGCCCCCATCCCCACCCCCACTGCATGATGTGGAGAAGCAGGGGACACTGGTAGAAATTTTTGCCAAGATGAATTTCAGAAACAAAAAAGTACGTAATACTGGTAAATATAAAGCTGTTCTTATTTCACAGGCCTCTGGCTGGGGCACAGTATCAAGGCACAAACCCCTGCATGTGGCTTCGGGTTTCCCCAGGTGTGCGGTCAAAGCACCCCACAGACCTCTCCAGAAGTGCTTGTCACAACGCCGCCTCCCACAGGCTCCAAGTGTTTGGGGCCAAAAACCCATTTTGGCTGCAGACACCATGGATGACTGGGCTGTCCTGAGGGGGTGAAGCTCTAACCATGGTCTTGGATGTTCAGATAGGGCCTTACCAGATAGAGCCTTGCAAATCCTTCCCCCTTGGCCTGCCAGAGCTTTGGTTCTCAGACCAGTTTCCCAAAGCATTAAAACCTAAGTGGACTCGAGAAGCTGCAGGGGTGAGGAGCTGGTGGGGCATGCACACGCCAGGTGCCATCTCAAGGCTCAATGGTTCCTTAGTGCCCTCCCACCCCCACCCCCGAGTGTGGAGCTGTGGCCCCAAGGGCTGGCTACCTGGTTAGGAATGGCTCTCTTCTTGTTCAGCTGAGTGCTCCTCTGCTGAGCGCTGAAACCAAAGCACAGAGAGGCATGCAGGTGAGATGCTGGGAGGGAAAAGGAGCAAGAGCCCTCAGGGCCCAGGTGGGGTTCTTTCCCACAGGAGGAAACCAGCTAAGGGCAGAGTCAGAGCAAAACTACCCTGCACACAAAGGGCTGCTTAAGGGAGAAAGCTTGGGCTTGTGGAAGGAGAAAATGTATGGAGTTAAACCAAGGCATCTATGCCCTGGTCTCTGCCACTCCTGGGAGCACGAGCTATTTCCAGAACTCACTGGGTGATGGATCCTCCAAGGATGGGCATGAGAAGCTGGACTCCCGGGTGGCTAGAAGTTACCATGGCTGAGTGTCAGGCTGTTTCAGAGTTGAAAAGTTGAGGCTTCCTCCCATTCTCAATTCCTACTCCTAACCTGGGCACCAAGACCTAGGTACAATAGCTGTGACCACAGTCTTGTCGGACCTGAGTTCAGACTGTGGGAGAGCTGCTCGCCAATACTTCACTCATATTGGACAGAACCAGAGGACAGCCAAGGTCAACGGTGTGTTTCAATTATGAGGTCTGTTGTTTACATACAGTCCCAGGTCTCTTTTCTTCTTTATTTATCCTGTTTCCTGGCTAGTCCATGCCAGGAAATGGTAAGTGCAAATAAAAGCCATGTATCTATATATGAACACTTACTTAGTTCCCTTGTTCGTACTAATGTCATATCTTCTTATCATATTGCTTTAGCTGGAACTTTTAGAACAATATGAAAAGGCAAACTATCTTGTTTCATTATTGTACTGACTGCTTCTGGGTTTTTTAATTTTTAAATCCTCACCCAAGGATGTATGTTTATTAATTTTTTTAAAGAGAGAGAGACAGACAGATAGAAACATCGATATGAGAGAAACATCGATCAGTTGCCTACCATACATGCCCCGACCGGGGATCTAAATCCACAACCTAGGTATGTGCCTTGACTGGGGCTCGAACCTGCAATCTTATTGCATACAAGATGGTGCTCTAACCAACCGAACCACCTGGCAGGGGTTGCTCTCTGGAGTTTTACCTTAAAATTCAAGTTGGCTGTTGGATAAGTTGAGTGTGTGTGTACACGCATGCACAAATGAAGTAAATTTCTGTTCCTTGAGCAGTAGAAGTTGAGCACTAAGAACGGAGGTTGGCCCTGACAGATGCGGCTCAGTGGATTGAGCACCGGCCAGCCAACCACAAGGTCACTAGTTTGATTCCTGGTCAGGGCACATGCCTGGGTTGCAGGTCAGTCTCTGGTTGGGAGCGTGTGAGAGATAACTGATCAGTGTTTATCTTGCACATCGATTTTTCTTTTTCTCTCCTTCTCCCTCCTTTCCCATCTCTCTAAAAATAAATAAAATCTAAAAAAAAAATGGAGGCAATACTTGATACCCAATAATTTACCTAATGTTCAATGAGTTTACTATAGGGTGTTTTCTTTGGGCCCTGTTTTTAGTGTTTAGAGAGCAGTGGGAAAGGAGCCCAGAACATCTAAGCACAGGAAGAAGTTTGATCAGAAGTGCCTGAGGAAGACAGAACCAAGCTAAGCCACGCGTGACAAGGTCTGGGTACTAGAGATTCCACATATGCTGCTTCCTAAGGGCCTCCTGGCTTGCTCACCCACACAGCTGCACCTGTCTATCCCTCGCCTGCACCGAACTGGAGATCTCCTACTGCTGTGAGGGTTCCAAAGTCCAACCCTAGACCAGCAAGAGCCCTCCTGGTGATGGGGCCTGACCTCCCACCTCCCCGTGTTGGTCTCATGTTCCTGGCTTCTCAGCCTTCCTTCCCTGTCTCCAGTGCTCTCTGGGGTACCCCTGCCTGTCATCTGGCTGTCAGGACTTCCTCAGGATGGTCTCTCTAGGGTGCATATTTTATGCCCCTTTCCCACAACTCCTCAACTACCCTCCTTTCCAACTTTCATTTTCCTTGTGACAGTTTGCTCAATGACAGTGTGTCCTCAGCCTGTAGGCTCTGAAGGGGCAGGGCCCAAGTCTGGTTTGTTCACTGTCCTAGTTCAAAGGCTCTGAGACAGTGCTCCAGGGCTGTACAGTGGGACCCCAGTATATCCCACCCACGGCTGGGACCCTGGTTTATACCTGGGCTGGGCGGAGCCTGGCACCCTGGGCCCCGCCCCCAGCCGTTCACACATCAGGGAAAAGGCACACAGCAGGCAATACCCACCAGGTCACCAGCTGCTCAGTATAGTAACAGCTGGGGGAGGTGGGAAGGCGCAGGAATCCAGAGGAAAGAGTGGAGTGGTCAAAGGAAAAACAGGAGAGATTGTGAGAAGGAACTGTGGATGAAGTGTGAGAAGCAGAGACATCAAGGTGAGGAAAACAGCAGCAAACCAAAAGGGAGGAACAGTGTTTTCAGCCCACACACAACTGCTGTTGGGGACAGGAGCAGGAGGGGTTGCTCCCCAGACTCTGAGAACCCCACCTGTGGGTGGCCCACAGACTGTGCCTCCCAGCCCACCCCCCACAGGGTTAGCACAGCTGGGGCCTGAAGTTTCTGATGAGGCCCTTATTTCTTCACCTACCATGTTCCCAGTACAGAACAGCTGCTCAATCAACTGTGTTGTGTGCACTGATAAATGTTCTACCTGGCAACTACTTAGCCCCAACAGAGAGACCTCTGACAGGAATACCCTCTCTCACTCCAGCCTGCTAGGTCGAGATTGGGCTCTAGTAGGCCCCTCCTCAAAGGCACCTCCCTACACCCCCAAGACCATGCCAGAAGACCACCTGGTGGACTCCCACGGCCCTACACAGCCCTTGCCCTGGCACTAACCACACTGTGTCTTAACTATCTGGGTGTATGTCTGTCCCTGGCATGAGACCTTCCTTTGAGGGTGGGGACCTGGGTCTGTGCTTGTTCACCGCTGTGTCATAGGGCCTGGAACAGAGAAGGCACACCAGCAATATTTGCTAAGTGATACAAGGCAGCTGGCTACCAATGGTCTGTTATTCTACTGGACTCAAGAAAGACAACCTCTGTGAGCCACCAGAACAACCCATGTGAGGCCCCAGCTCACTAAGGACGGGGTGGTGCAGGGGCTGATGGAATGAACCAGTGGGAGGATGCCTGAGACCACGAGCCTTTATATCTACATCTTGCTAAAATCAGAGCTCCCTGTTCTAGTCCCTTATCCAGGTCCCACGTACGGTTCTGGTTTTAAGTCTACAGTGTATAAATGGAAGCCATGGTGATCTTAGGTAGCCCTGACCTCATGAGATGCTCTGTGAAAGGGCCACGTGTGAATGGAGAGTCTAGGAAAACTGCACAGGAGTCTATGAAAGGCTCCTCTCCCGAGAAGTCCCTCGGGAAAGGAAGCACTGGACACTGGCTAGTCTTGTCCTTGCCTCATGAGTTTGACCTCAGGACTGTACTTTCTTCCTTAAACCACTAGTGCCCCATAGGAGATGCAGTGGGAATAATAGCAATGGGCTGCTAATAATCCAGGCAACTGTCCTGATACTTCATCCTGAGATGCCCAGCCCACACAGGGAATCCCGACTGAGAGTGCACTGGCACCACCCCGTGGCCCCTGTCCCGAACAGTACATACTTGGCAAATCCAATGAAGTCCTCGTGGTTTGTGTTGATGTAGGACTGCTCAATGTCGATGAGAAGAAGAATCTGAGGGAAAGTAGAAGGCATTGTGAGTATAGATGATCTCCAACTTATAATGGTTTTATGTATGACTCTTCCACTTTGTAACAGTGTGAAAATGATAGGCATTCAGTAGAAACCATATTTCGAATTTTTGTCTTTTCCTGGGCTAGTGATATGTGATATGATACTCTCCCATGATGCTGGGCAAGTCGTAGTTACCAGTCAGCCAAGCGATCATGAGGGCCAGCAACTGATACTCTACAATGTATTCATTGTATTAGATGATTCTGCCCAGCTGTAGGCTCCTGTAAGTTCTGAACACATTTACAGTAGGCTAGGCTAAGCTATGATGCTCAGTAGGTTGGGCCTTGTTAAATGCATTCTCAGCTTACTATATTTTCAAGTTATGATGAGGTTATCGGATGCTACAATGAGGTTATATCTTCATAAACTCATCAGTTGAGAAGCATCTGTATAGAGCCCGCAAGGCAAGGAGGGGAAGTGGATGGAGTGCTTTTCGCATGGGGAGTAGAGTTGGGGGGATGGTGCAGAACCATGCTGCTTTCAAGGTAGAACGGGTGTCACACATACACCTACCCCCAGCACACGCTCTGGAGTACAGCTGCAGAAGAAAGGGGACGCTGGTGCTTCCAGATATCAAGGACTTACAACTAAGACTGAGCCAACAGAGAAGAGTGAAGCAGCCCAGCGTGGTGGTCACAGACACAGCCTCTGGGGCTAACCACCTGGGCTGCAGGCTTGGCTCAGCTACTGTCTCACTATGTGACCCTGGGCCCCAAGTTATCAAGCTGTGGAATAGGGGCGCAAGAGGCCCGCTTCAAAGGGTTGAGTAATTCACAATATTTATAAAGTCTTTACCTAGTACCTGGCATTTCATAAGTGCTACATTTAAACAGCAAAGAAAATGTGGCCAGATGAAGACATTAAAAGGAAAGACACACACAGGCGCAGAGGAGCAGGTGGGATGTCATTCAGATGAAGGACATGCCCTTCAACAGTGCCTCCAAGCCCTCAAGCATAAAACACACCAGGTGCTAGGCCAGACGTTGTGGGGTTGTTGGAAAATGCTGGGGTGCTCCGACCATGGGATCCACTGTCGCCAATTTCATGAAGCCTAAATCCCATTCCCCTGGAGCCAGAGGATCAAGCCCAGCAGTGTTGACAGGGAGGCAACCAGGGACTGTGGTGTGTTTGGAAGAGACAGCAGCATCCTTCACAATACTGACAACAAAATGTATTGAAATCTCTCACACTTTTGATGCAGCTTCTAGGCTACAGAAGCAAAGTGAAATAAGGCACAGGTTGACTGGGGAAAACAGTGAAGGACAAATGAGCCAGTTTCTTTTTCATCAGTGTCAAGGGGAGAGAACCATTCTAAACAGGTGATATCACAACCAAATACAACACATAGGCTTGCTTCAGTTCTGGTTTAAACAAACAGCTGCCAAAAGACCACAGCAGACAACTGGGGGAAAGTGACTCAGACCAGGTGTTGGGTTGTATAAAGGCCCTGGGTGCACTCAGCAGGGGACGGGTGAGACTGCCACTTTGATTGCTTGGAGGGGTCCCACTGTACCTTTGTGTGTGCTCGGATGGTCTTCACAGGAAAATTAAAAGAAAAAGCACCCTAATGTACTCTGGCAAGCAAACAGATAACCAAGCTGTGGTCTACACATTTACCGATCAAAAGTAACAAACTTCACGAGCGCCACAAACAACAGGGATGAATGCTAAATACATCACACTGAGAGAAGGATGTCAGAAGCAAAGGCTATGTAGCCCTGGCTGGGTGCTCAGTTGGTTAGAGAGTCATTCTGAGATGCCAAGGTTGCAGGTTCAATCCCAGGTCAGGGCGTATACAAGAACCAACCAATGAATATGTAAATAAGAGGAACAACAAATTAATATTTCTCTCTCCCTTTTCCTCTCTCTCTCTAAAATAAGTCAACTAAAGAAAAAAAGGCTATGCAGTACAGGAGACCATTCACAGAATATTCTGGAAAGACAGGGCAAAACCACAGGACAGGGAGCAGCCACGTGGTTGCCAGGGCTTGGGGTCTATAAGGGTCAATGACAAAGGGGCAAAGGAGAATTCGGGGGTGTGACAGAATGGTTTTGTATTGAGATGGAGGTGAGGGGTTACTGTATGTATGTGTCAAAACTCAAAGAACGGGGGGTGCTCCCCTTTTTCGGAGCACAGCCATGTGCTCTTTCTTCCCTCTCAGACATGAATCTCCTAAATTCTAAGGGACCCCATGAGACTTGGAATGGCAACAGGCAGCGGCAGCTCATCCCGGGCTAACCCTGCGAACCTCGGTCCAAGGCCCCTTTGCTCTGACCTCTCGGTGAGCCAAAGCAGCCCTGCTCGGCTCTCTCTGTTTTCTTAGTTGTTGTTCAAGTACCACTGTCTCCATTCTCCCCGCCCGCTCACTCCCCCACCCGCCTGGGCTCTCCTGTTCTTCTAGCCTGAGCCCTGCCTTGTCTCACTGCCCCTAATTTTCATAAATGCACTCTCCACATAAAAAAATAATGAAAACCAAACTCAAAGAACTTTACACTCAAGATTTCCTACAACCAAATGATATCTGATAATTAAAACAAAAAGCCAGTACCTGGTCCTTGGTTCTCCCCTCCCGTTCGCGGATGTAAGAGGTGACAATTCGCTCTGTCTCCTCTCTCAACCGGGGGTAGGAGCTGAGCTGGGGGGAAAGCAGAGTGGCAGCGTTGGCTGGGTCCTCATGGCTTAGGAAGCAATGTGAACCACACTGAAAACATGAGGGAAGGTGGGTGACATGGGGTAGGCCCACCGAGTCCCCACCTCACTCCTGTCTCACAGCTGCTCCAGCTGAGAGACAAAGGGACAGTGGGGGGACAGTGGGCCGGAGTGAGTGACAGGGTGCCCATGCACAAGCAAAGATGCTTTTTGAAAATGCGATTCAGAGGTGGAAATTGGCAGAGGAAGTGGGTGACAGCCACCCCCCTCCCACCCAACACTGGGTGAGTGTGAAGACACTGACTGTAGTTAAAGCTACTGGTCACTGGGGTGAGTGCTCTCACTCAGCTTGTGCGCACGTAGCAACTGTTCTAGGATGGTAGGTTGGCATCTGGGCCATCTATCTCGGAGGGACCCCTTTGTAGGAAACTATTCCTCATCATCTTATCTTTGGAATCCACTCCTCGCACGCCCCCAGAGCCCACACTTTGCAGCAGCAACCAAACCGAACACATGAAGAGCCCACCTTGTGCAGTTTGGGTTAAGTCCACAAGTTGAAGAAAATTGAGCAGACTGTCAAAATTCCTTGATGAAAACCTAGTAAACGCCCCGTGGCATTAGGACATGAAGGTCTGCACACTGAAATTTTTCACGGTTTTGGTGAGTGTACAGACGCCCTTTCTCTAAGGGCCAGAAACGGCACTGACTCTCGTCCCTGATGCCTGATGAGTAAATGCTTTTGGCAACACCAAAGGCCTCCCTGCCCCTTCAGGAGCCCAAACTGCAAAGGCACAACACCCATGTGATGCAAGTTGTCCCATTTTGCCTGCAAATGCAAAGCTGAGATATTGGACCAAGTGACAACAGGACCATGGCGGGCGGGGTCCATCCGAGCAGAGTTTCCCAGATGCGTGGGTCAAGACTAACAACAGAGGGAGAAGATGGGGACAAATGCATGGGTGATAAGAATGAAACCTTCTGTTACCTTCTCAGCACACTTTTTAATGACTGTGGCCAATTCTGAGACCACGAGATCAACACACTTCAAACTTGGCTCTTTGAGTTTTACAATCTGTTTTTTCACAATGGCTTCAAAGGCCATATCAGGGGTGAAGAGCCCCGTCCTGGGTCATGCGGAGGGTGGGACCAGTAGAAAGACACCCAGAGACAGTGTAGGCCACAAACCCGGGACAGGAGACAGAGAAAGAGAGAAACGAGAGTCAGCTGGTTAGTGACATGCATGGTGGAGCCTGTGCCCGCATTTGCCCCGGAAGCTGCTTCAGATCAAAGAGACATCCTGGATATGAGAGGTGGACTTGACCTGGGTTTAATTACAGAAGTGCTAAGGGTCAGTGTCATGATGCAAATGCTAAGGGTGTGCAGATGTTTTGAGTTCTCGTATCTGTAACAATGAGCTCCAGGGTGAAAATCTCCAACCCATCTGGGTTTCTTTCCCCTCCCTTTTCCTATCGAAGAAGCTTAAGAAGCAAATGTGGGCTTTTCCAGACTGAAAACAGAAGTCCCAAGCAGAAACCCCTGCCTAGGAAGGCTGACCCAGAGCTCTGTGGCCATCGTGGACGTGCAAGCACAAACTGCCCACCAGGAAGCGCCTCAGCTGCTTGGCCAAAGCATGCTGCCCTGGGAACCAGGCCCGTGGGGGAACCCAGCACATCTTGCTGGCGGTCTTGCTGGCGGGAGGCAGTGGCCTTAGACACTTAGGTGCTTGTGGCCCAGTGGATCTGAGGACTAGCTACCTGGGAGAACAGCACTGCTCCTGAGAGTAGCAAAGGAACTAGAGGAGGTAGCTAGGAGTCTAACTGACATTGGGACCCAAGCACTCATTCTGCGTTGGAGTCTGGGCCTTTCTCAGTGAACTGGAGACAGAGAAGGTACTGTCTACAGGGAAGCTCAAGGGCATCACTCAAGAAGTGACAGACAAGGACATTCAGGGAGCTTGGCCTCCAGCAGCTGACGCGGGGTCCCTCTCTTTCCCAGAGGTAGCAAAGCGACAGCCCAATGACACCCCCAATTCCATCAGACACATGCTAGGCTTGGTATCAGGGTCCCAGGGAGCCCTGCCCACGTCTGGCCAGTCCTGGCGGCCTGGCACCCCCCACCCCCGGTTGCACCCCAGCTGACAAGCCCCCGCCCTAGCCTCTGGGAACATACCATGTTGTTAGAGACCGAGGCAGTGTGGGGGCGGAGGAAGCACATGGAGCACAGGCTGAAGCAGCACTGGGAGCCTGATACCAAAGCCCCGACCCCATCTCCACGGCCAGGTCCCCACCGAGGGCCGATACCTTACTGGTACACTGCCTAACTGTATTGATTAGCTCCTGGATAACCAGGTCGACACATTTCAGACAGGGCTCTTTCAGCTTGACGACCTGCTTTTTCACAATGGCCTCGAATGCCAGGTCCGGGGTGAAGAGCCCAGTCCTAAAACCATCCAAACCCGGGGCAGGGGAGATAAGTCAGAGAAAAACAAAGCATGGTCAGCAATCTCACAGGCATGGGCCGGGTTCCCGAGAAAGAACCAAGTTCACGGCAAGTCTTGGGGTCAGATGCCTGTGTCCACTACCTGGAACCCCCCAGGACAAACTGAGGACCCCATGTTGATGTGAGACTAGACAGCTGGAGCGACTACTTTTGTTGGAATATGAAGGGGACCCAGCAGGCTCAAGGGAACCTGTGAGGGGGATAAACACTGGGTTCCTATGATCATGCTCAGGTCTGCGGCCCCCCACCCCCCCACGACAAATATGCAGTGAGTTTTCTTAGATGTCCATGGTAACTGGGGCTCATGCCAAGTGACTGGGAAGTTTAATGTTTAATCCAAGGGCAGCAGACAACCCTGTGGCCCATTACAAAGTCACACAGGACGAAGCACATCCACCCTCGGGTGCCCTTGGAGAGAGTTATGGCTACTGAGAGCTACTCAGGAACCCTGTCAAGACCTCAAGATCGGGGCACACAGAGGTCTGGGGGGACCAACTGGCTGGAGGGTGGCACTGCAGAGGTGAAGGGAAGAATGGTGACTCTCCCCGTAGAACTTGCCTGACTCCATGAATGTTCTTTATGGCGTAGCTAATCTCCCGTCGTAGGTCCTTCTCATCGAACTCCATCTGAGAACAGAGAAACCAAACATATGCGAGGATGTACCTGGGCCACCTGTAGAGCAGGTGTTTGTTTGGACAGTGTTGCCTCCTGTGTGCATTTGTATTCGCATGGGAGGATATTAAATTGGTTGACATTTTCTAAATATGAAAACCTAGTATTAGCAAGGATGTTGTGATACTAACACTCTAGCTGTCTTCAAAACATGAATTCATATAAACTTTTTTATGAGCTACTTGTCGTACAAATTGAGAACCTCCAAAAATATACCTATGATATCACCTGGTAGTTTTAAATGCTCTAAAAATTTATCTCGAGGAATGAAAGAATTAGCCACATTCACAGAATGATTCCTAACTGCTGAAAAATGTGGAAAAAAGCCCAAACAGCCCTAAGTGTCCAACAAAGGGAGACTGGTTAAATGCATGATATGACATATATAAAATATATTGTTTTGTCATTGACAACGCATGAAATGTTTATGACTAGTTTTGAAAGATGGCCACCACATGAAAAAAAGCAGGGTATAAAGACAGCATTTAAACACACACACACATGCACGCAAGTCTGGATGAATATATGTGCTGTTTCCATGTGCAAGGGGGCTTTCTTTCTTTATATAAAACGCTACACGAATGTGCATGTCACTCTTGCTCAGGGGCCGTGCCAATCTCCTCCGTGTGGGTCTAATGTTAGTATATGTGCTGCCAAAGTGAGCACAAGGTGGTGCTTTCTGTTTGCATAGAAATAACCGAAAGGACACACATCTAAGGGCTAACAGAAGTCATCTGTGGGTGTTAGGGTTATGAGGGTTTTCCTGCTTTTAGCTTTTGATCTTTAACTGAAAAAACTTTATTGGTTCTTTTAAAAACATGTGCTCATAGTAAAAAGTAAAAGTTCAGCAAATTAAAAAATAAAACCACCATCAAATCCTAGCACCAAGAACTGCAAGAGCATCCTTACAGATCTTTGCAAATAGACACATCTAGACACACACGCGTAACTGCATATGGAAGGATACCACAATATTATCTATGTGTTAATGCTGGGTCCATAACCTGTTTATTTTCCTCTTCAACACGCTGGGGATGTGAGGTTCCCACTACTATCTATATATCTTGCAAAGAACAAGTACTGATGTTTGTCAGAGGAAAAAAATGAAACTTTTTGTACAACTCTGCCAGAATCCTGTAAACTGCCTGCTCAAGGGAATGAAACCCGCTGAGGACCGTCTCCCCCAGGCCACACTCTCCCCACATCAGGCTCAGGCCTGAAGGCTGGAGGTTCAAGACCTCAAGATCTGGAAGGAGGCTAGGCTCAAGGCTGAGCAGAAGGGTGCCTGACCAGGGGAAAGAGGGCTCAGCTTTGGCAATACTACCTTCACCAGCTCGAAGGGAAACCGCTCATGGAAGATGCGATTAATTCGTGCGCCGCCAGAGAGCTCCAGCGTGTCCACTTGGTCTCCAGAGCCCTCAATCCTCTTTTCAAAGTCCACCCCAAACTGTTGGACCATCCTATGAGGAAAAAAGAAAACCCAAACATCAAGCAGAGGTTTCTTTTTTTTTAAATAAAATTTTTAAAAGATTTTATTTATTTATTTTTATTTTTAGAGGGGAAGGGAGGGAGAAAGAGAGGGAGACGAATATCAATGTGTGGCTGCCTCTCCAGCAATTCCTACCAGGGGTCTGGCCCGTAACCCAGGCATGTGCTCTGACTGGGAATCAAACCAGCAACCTTTTGGTTCTCAGGCCAGCACTCAATCTACTGAGCCACACCAGCCACGGCTCAAGCAGAGGTTTTGACACAGCTGCAGTGTTATGTCCTGAGTCAAACCATGCTTCAGTTTCCTCTTTCATTTTTAGCAGCAAAATCTATGTATAGGTCAAAACAAACAAAATTCAGGAGCTGCAGGTGGCAAACTCTTGCTGTGTGCCAGGCCCATTCTACAGCCTGTTATGATCATCACTGAACTGAAGAGGGCACATATTAATCCACTTTGCAGATGACAAGACTGAGGTGTAGGGGTCACAGCTTAGCAACCTCACCTCTGCTCCAACGCTTGGCTTAATCCAATAGCACCACGGAGTGAAAAGGAAGTCCTTCCACACAATTTGGGTGGTTTCTGCTGGTTCCCACCACCTGCCAACACGTGTGAGTCACCACTCCTCCACTATAGGCTGAGGCCCTGGACGGATAGCTATGTCCCTGAGCCTCAGTTTCTTCATCAGCAAAGCGGGTTGATAGTACCAGCACCTCCACACAGGGTCATTTTGAGGATTCAGAAATTTCTAGGTTTCATCAGCTTTAAGCAGTCAGTGATCCTAAAATGCACCATTAGTCTATACACCCACAAAAAAAGAAAAATGCTGTCAATTCATGCTAATTCACCTAAAACTCCTGAATTCAGAGAAGTCAAAATGTCACATAATTGACAAAACGTGATAACACCATGGTGGCCCCTTAGAAACCAGCCCACCCCTACAAAGTGTCTCTAAGTGTAAGTAGTTAGTCCTGTGACAATATGAGCAAAACGAAGATCTAAGACATTTATTCGTGCCCTGGTTTTCCTTAGCATTTCTAACTGCTCCCCCAGTCCCTTGCACGGTCTGCCTTAATCATTCCTTATTTCTGCCCCCCAAATTCCTGGTCTACTCAAGTACAGGTAGACCTTGGAGATACTGCAGGTTCAGTTCTAGACCACTGCAATAAAGCAAACACTGCAATAATGCGAGCAATACAAATTTTTTTCTTTCCCTATGCATATAAAAGTTACTTTTACACTATAATGCAGTCTATTAAGAGTTCCAACAGCATCATATTTTTTTTTTAATTTCAATTTTATTTAGCATCATATTTTTAAAAAAGAATGTACATAGGGCCAAGAGGGAGGCGTAGGTAAAAACACTGTGCCTCCTTGCACAACCAAATTTAAGGACAACAGAGATTTAGAAACAAAACCACAACCAAAACAGACAGAAAATTGAACTGTACTGAACTCCGACAAGAATGAACCCTTCATCTGAACCAGTAAGAGGCAGAGTCTGCGGCAGCTGGAGAGGGGTTTCGACAAGAGGAGGCGGTGATTGGTGACCCGGGCAGGCGCAAGACAAAAGCCCAATAAGGCTCACAAGGCAGTTGGTTGACCGCAGATGCACATTTGCACACAGAGAAACCAGGCAGGATTTAAAAAGGTCAGTGAGACAGACTGCGCAACCCAGGGCCCCAGCGACAGGAAATAAAGCCTAAAAGCACCAACTGGAAAAACTTATGGGGGTTGAGGTGCTGGGAGAGGCTCCCAGCCTCACAGGAGAGCTGGTTGGGGAGACCCACAGGGTCCTAGAACAAACACAAGCCCACACACCCAGGAACCACCACTAAAAGGGCCCAATTTGCTTGTGGGAAACGGCAGAGGGGACTGAAATCCTAGAGAGAGCAGAACAAATGCCATTGCCCCTCTCTGACCCTGCCCCCAGTCACAACCCAGCAACTGGGCTGACCTGTCCCGGTGAACACCTAACCTTTCACCCCTCATACGTAACAGGTGCGAAAAAACCAAAACATTATGGCTCAAGAAGAAGAACAGCTCAAAGCCACAGAGCCAATACCACTAAGTGATCAAGAGATAGCCAACCTATCTGATGTACAGTTCAAAACACTGGTGATCAGGATGCTCATTGAACTGGTTGATTTTAGTTGCCATACAGATGAAAAAAATGAAGGCTACACTACGTGAAATGAAGCAGAATGCACAGGGAACCAATAGTGATGGAAACAAATCTGGGACTCGAATCAATGGAGTGGACCAGAAGGAAAAAAGAAACAACCAAACAGAAAAGAATGAAGAAACAAGAATTCAAAAAAAATGAGGAGAGGCTTAGGAACCTCCAGGACATCTTTAAACGTTCCAACATCCGAATTATAGGGGTACCAGAAGGGGAAGAGAAACAGCCACTAGTGGAAAAATTATTCGAACAAATAATAAAGGAGAACTTCCCCAATCTGGCAAAGGAAATAGACTTCCAGGGAATCCAGGAAGCTGAGAGAGTCCCAAAGAAGTTGGACCCAAGAAGGAACACACCAAGGCACATCATCATTACATTAGCTAAGATTAAAATGAAATTTCTAGAGAAAATTCTAGAAGCAGCAAGAGATAAGGGGACAGTCACCTACAATGGAGATCCCATCAGACTGTCAGCTGATTTCTCAAAAGAGACCTTCCAGGCAAGAAGGGGCTGGAAAGAAGTATTCCAAGTCATAAAATGCAAGGACCTACATCCAAGATTGCTCTATCCAGCAAAGCTTTCATTTAGAATGGAAGGGCAGATATAATGCTTCTCAGATAAGGTCAAGTTAAAAGAGTTCATCATCACCAAGCCCTTATTTTATAAAATGTTAAAGGGACTTACCTAAGAAAAAAAAGATAAAAAAGATGAACAGTGAAAGGACAGCAAACTCACAGTTATTAACAACCACACCTAAAACAAAAGCAAACTGAAAGGACAGCTAGATCAGGAGTGAACCATAGAAATGAAGATCACATGGAGGGTTAGCAACAAGGGAGTGGGAGGAGGAGAAGGGGGAAGAAGGTACAGAAAATAAGTAGCATAGACAGTAGGTAGAAAATAGATAGGGGGAGGGCAAGAATAGTATGGGAAATATAGAATCTAAAGAACTTGAGACACGTGGTCATAAACTAAAGAGGGGAATGGTGGGCGAGGGGTGAGCAGGGTGGAGGGGAATGAAGGGGGAAATGGGACAACTGTACTGGCATAGTCAATAAAATATATTAAAAAAATAAAAATCTCTGAAATCAGAGTGGATACAACTTAAAAAAAAAAGAACGTACATGCCTTAATTTAAAATACTTTATTACTAAAAAATGCTAACCGTCATCTAAGCCTATTAGACAAATGCTGCTGCCCTGGCTGGTGTAGCTCAGTAGATTGAGCGCAGGCCTGCGAACCAAAGGATTGCGGTTCAATTCCCAGTCAGGGCACATACCTGGGTTGCAGGCCAGTTCCCAGCAGGGGACACACAAGAGGCAACCATACACTGATATTTCTCTCCCTCTCTCCTTCCCTTCCTCTCTAAAAATAAATAAATAAAATCTTAAAAAAAAAAAAGAAAGAAAAATGGTGCTGGTGCTGATAGACTTGCGTGACTCAGAGGTGCCATAAACCTCCAATTTGTACAAAATGCAGTACTGCAAAACGCAGTAACACAAGGTGTGTCTGTGTTGTGTGGAGTTTCCCACGCTGGGCCTGCAGCATGGAGCCGGAAGTGCTCTGGCAGAGAGAAGTCCAGCTCTCCTGAGCAAACACAGGAGATGCTCGTGCACTGCCAGGGAGACCAGGATCGGGCAACGGTGAAGGGCGTTCTCCCTCCACACTTGCAGTGGCAGGGGCATGAGGCAGGGTGTCCCAGATCCCGAGAAGCTCTCTGCCCACATGCAGCAAATGGTGTGCATACTGGATTTCCTTTCCAGAGACACACCCGTGCCTATGTGCATGTCGCACATGGAATGGGGACCATAAATGGTGGGCCAAACCCCAAGGCTAAAACTGTGAAAGGCTCAGTAGCACTATGAGAGTAGTAGAGTGGATTAGGGCCAGGATGGAGCCTCTGGACATCTGCCACCAGCTTCAGAAGGGAAAAGATACAGCCCGTGAGTGCCAGTCTCCCAGGGCCACTGAAGTCCAAGCTGATCTCACAGAGCACCCTTACCAACTGTCATGAGTTGAACCATGTCCCCCAAATTCATGTTGACATCCTAACCCCCAGTGCCTCTGAATGTGACCTTAGTGGGAAAGAGTCATTGCAGATGTAATTAGTCAAGATGAAGTCACACTGTAGCAGGATGGGCTGCGAGCCAATGTGATTAGAAAAAGGAGACACGGGGATGCACATAGGGAACAGCCATGTGAAGACGAAAGCAGAGACTGAGAACACCGATGACTGCCCGCAAACCACCAAAATCCTCCTGAAGGAACCAACCCTGACCCTTGATTTGAAAATCTTGGCATCTAAAACTGAGAGACAGTAAATTTCAAATGTTTAAGCCATCCAACTTGTGGTACTTTGTCAAAGCAGCCAGAGCAAATGAATACAGCAATGTCCAGGGCAGGTGAGTCATCTGTAGATGACCACAGTCACTAGACACGATTGGCTGCAAGTGGAAAGTCACACTCGCACATCTAGAGAATGGGCATTCCTGCTTCCAGTTCTAGAAGGGGAGAGATCCAAGTGCAAAGCACACAAGCGGAAGGAGAACACATCTGAAAGATGCCCCCATCATCTCTGCCTATGTAAAGAACCTGTCTGGGGCTTTAAAGTGACCTGCATTCCAGCCACAGGATGGAGCTAGCAGATAAAGGAGATGGAATACCACCTGGCATGATGACCAAGCTGTGCAGGGAGGAGGGGGAAAGGACAGAGATACAGAACAATTCATCATAGTAATGGTGATGAAAATAAAATCTGTTAGCTTTCCTGTCCCTGGCTTCCTGTGAGCCACATACTGCATGTGCCCATGCGTGACCTGCAGACCTGCAGTCATGGGAGCCGATAACACCTCTCTGGAATCCCTGTAAGGCACAGGTGTCAAACACAAGGCCCGTGGGCTGAATCCGGCCCTTCACCTTGTTTTATCCGGCCCAGCACTTCGTTTCTACCGGGCGGCCGCACTGAGCTCTTGCTTAACAAGGAGTAGTTACATTTATACAGTCCTAAAATTACATTCGGCCCTTTGAAGGCAATGAGAGGCTGAAATGAAATGGCCCCCAGTGAAAATGAATTTGACGCCCCTGCTGTCAAACTCATTTAAGTGATATTAGTTAAAATATAAGTGACCCTCGACCGAGCAACCCCACTTTTAGGAGTCTCCCCTGCAGGAATCCTCATATGTGTACTCAACAATGAATTCAAGAAGCATCTGTTGAAGGAAAAAACACCCAAATGTTGAGCCACAGGAATAACCTGTGACATAGGCCAGGTGGCCACGAGAAAAAGAAGGCTCTCAAGGATGCTTTTGTCAACTGTTCTTATTCTCTTGTACGGCAACAACCTGAAGATGGGAACCAGGGTACAGAGGAGGGAGAGTTTTCACAGCCAGTCCCTTTGCATCCTTTTTATAATAAAGGCTGAGAAGGAAGTCATGCAACAAACCATTCAAAGGGACAACTAGTAATGGGAAAGGAAGGAGCAGGGCCCTGTTTGTCTGCGTGGCCTGCAGCCAGTAGGAGGAGCTGGGACCTGTGGATGAGATGCTAAAGAAGAAAGGCCCAGCCCTCCTGAGAAACTGCAGGTAACAACCGTGCATCTCCACAGTGATGTTAAAACTAGCTGCAGGGCCTTGCAGGGCACCAGTGAAAAATGACAATACGCCAAACCCTGGCTCCAGTCCGGCCAAGGGCTTCTAGAACAGCACCAAGCACTTTCATAAATTCCACCAATGGCTACGTGGGGTGACAGCTACTGCCATCTTCATTTAAGGCCAAGGAAAGCAAGGTTCAGAGAGACATGGTCACCAGCTGGTGGAAGCCCAACAGGCCCAGGCTTACCCCCAGGTTACTGCACATGCTAGACCAAATCTCCTCAAGTCTGCAAAGGGTCTGCATTTGCTCTGTGGAAAGGTTTGCAGAATGTAGCTGAGCTCGTCTGAGCATTAAAAAAAGCACTTTCGTCCTGCCTCACCACCATGCATTGTCACAGGGCCGAAAGAGTGGGGAGACATCAGACCTAAGATGGCCATGGGAGCAATGTCCCTCTGGTGTGCCTGTAGGAGTCTTGTGCATGCCACCATCTGCCATGTGAGCTACTAGGGAGTTTCTCGAACCCATGCTAGGCAAGTCCTTGCAGTGTGCAGGGTCCCTGGCAGGGCAGAAGGAACCCCAGCTGAGAGCCTGGAATCACGGGGTACGCCTGCTCTCTTGCCTCTTAGACGCAAAGCTGTGGCAAGTCTCCCAGAGATCTGAGCTGAACTCAATAGTCAGTGTGAGGAATGGAAGAGACCAAGCAGAAGTAGCTAACACAGGGTCCAACTCCCACCCTCCTTGTCTGTCCTCCCGGCAGCAGCCAGAGGGCGCCTGTGAACACTTGAGTTGGGCCATTCCCATCCTCTTCTGTTCAGAATCAAGCATAACTCAGTGCAAGAGCCAAAGTTCTCCCCATGGTCCACAAGGCCCTGCACACTCTGCCATCACCTCTTCCCACTCTCCCTCGCTCACTCTGCTCGAGCCACATGGACCTCCAACATGCTGGACACGGTCCTGCCTCAGGGTGCTTACACTGGCCGGAGCCTCATCAGAGCTCTACGTGGCTTCCTCCCTCACCTCCTCAGGGCTTTGCCTGACTGTCTCCCCCTGGTGCTCTCCAGGCCCTTCCCCACACTGTATCTTTGCCATTCGCACACTACACATTTACTTATTTACTTATTTAGTCTCATCTTCCCCCCCCCTCTCCTTTCTAAACACATGGGGCAGGAATGAGCATCTGCCTCATTCTCTGTGGTGACCCCAGTTCTCAGGACAGGGCCTGGCACACACTTTGGGAACTGTCCGCAGAATGAACAGAGGAATGAGTGAGGATCAGTGACCAGCCTAGACTGGAAACCCTGTGGCTGGGTGAAGGCCGCGGTGAGCCAGGCTGAGGGGCTAGAGGGAGACACACGTACTGCAGCAGGGCTTTGGTTTTACGTGTGGGGTCATCGGGCCGGAAGTTCTTATATTCCTCCACTTCCTTCTCCAGGGATAACAGCTGGCTCTGCAGCTTGCTGCGCAAGGTTGGCAGTGACTCCCGGATGTGGTTGGTCAGTTGCTGCAGGAGAGAGGTCAGAGGTCAATGCAGAAAGGTCCAGGTCCAACACACCCCCAGCTTCAACAGAAAGCAACACAACATCAGCTGGAGTTACACTTGAACACAGAGCAGGGAGAGGCTGAGAACATCCCACAGACCTTTGTAGCACAGATTAATCGGGGTGTCCACACCATAAAATACATATAACGATGTGCAAGGACATGTGTGCAGACCGGGAGGAGTCTCCCACAAGTGCTGCTCAGTGAAAAGCCCAGGAGGCCACCACAGGACCATGCGATGGGTAACAGACAATACATGTGGAAGGCGGGACATGGGGTGGGTACACAGACACAGGGATGGGCCCTACAAGCTGAATGGGAAATAGCTCACCCCAAAAGGTATGAAATGTATGCATCACCCTTCTTTGAAAGACAAGGAGAAAGTAAGAACATGTGTTCATTCGCAGGAACAGAAAAAAGAAGATTCATGAGAAACAAAGTTAAAAGAAAAAGGCAGAATGATGCAGGTAGGCAGAAGGAGAGCTTTTACCGCAGCCCCCCTTTCCTCTCTACTGCTCTGCTCTTGCATCATGTGGATTTTGTCTTTATTCTTAAGTTTCAAAAGGAGACAGTAGTGCAGAAAAGCTTAGGGAATGAGTCTCGAGATGTGTTGTTAAAGAAAAAGCCAGATACAGAGCGGTGGGTAAATACCTTCCTGTTCAGGTGGAGAAAAGAAAGAAGAAAAAAGGGAAGTAGATGGAAAAAGAAAGGCAGGAAGGAGGGACAGAGGAGGGCAATATAGACACATCGGCCCTCTGGGCCTTGAGTGTCTCTAGAAGCGAGCCCAGGAAATGACGCTGGCTGCTTCATGGAATGGGACGAAGTGGGAGTCACTATATTTGGGCTGTATGACTTTTTTTGTTGTTTACTATTATAAGGGAGGGAGGAGTTAAAAGAGAGAGAGAAAGGGAGGGAGAGGGGGGAGAGAAGGTGAGAAGGGAAGGAAGGGACAAAGAGAAGTTGGGTGGGAGGAAGGAAGGGCAAACCAAAAGCCATACAATCATCTAATACCCTGAAAGTGAAAAGCGGCCTTTTGTTACCATCTGCCTACAGTAGAAAAGAACTTACAAAATATACATCAAGGTAGACACAAGGCGTGAAGGAGCATCACACTCTGTGGTATGCACCTTGGCTACCACCAAGTCCTTTATAACCAGGAGGTCTGCCTAAAGCCCCCTCTGTGGGAACTGCAGGTTCCTCAGGGTGGGCTACGTGCTCTTGCAGACCACTCTGGCCTCCAACAGCATCCTAGGCACTGGGGCCGCTTCATGGAACTCAGGGGAAACAGAGGAGTGGGGGGGGGCACCACTCCAGGAAGCATCTGATGTGAGGCCAGGCCCTCAGCTGAACTGTGGGCTCACAGGAGGCCCCAGCGGCCTGCAGCAGACTTTTACTTCCCTTCCTGATCCTCCACCCCTCTGCCCAGGCAGACCCACTTCCTTTCCTGGAGGGGCCCTCCGTTTGGATACTTCCTCTCTTCTTTGCTCCCCTGAGCTGTTGCCTCTCCCTTCCTTCTCTGTGCCCCCTCCCTTTCTGGCCGCCACCACTACCTAACACTTGACTGAGCATTCATCTGGTGACTTCCAAGTCTGTCCACCCCATAAGAAATCTGCCTTCCCAGAATACAGAGCCCTGCTCTCGGGTTGCCCCTGTGTCCCCATGGTGGATATGAAGGAGTGACTCTCAGACTGTCACTCTGCTACAACCCAGAAAGGTGCCATAAAGCATCAAGGGGACATCGCCTTGCAACCCCAGATGAACAAATCAGGACAGCTCTTAAGAACGGTCACTGCCTTTTACAGTGTGGCTTCATAATTTCCCATCAGGGACTTGGAGTAAATTGGCACATATACAAAATGATGTTATTAACATCTGCCTTTCACTGACTAGAAAGATAAGAAGCCATCCCAGTGGCTTCTAAAGTGTGACTGGTTAAACAGAGTAGGGCCCATGTGCTTAAGGAATACTACAGCCACAAAAGATAGCGATGACATTTTTCAACATTGACAGAGCTCTTAGAGAAACTGCTGAGCAAAACAAACCAAAACCTCAAAGGGGCATCCATGACTATGTTATGTCATCATTTATGGTAAGGAAGACAGTATGTGATTCTTGAAAGTCTTTTCGGCTTTTATGGACAGGAAGCCAAGCAGTACCAAGCTGTGAGTAGGAGGGAAGGGGCAGACAGGGCACTGCACTGTATGCTGTTTCATACTGGTTTTGTTATGAACCCTGTGAATATAATTACCCACATGCAAAAATAAAGATAGAAAAATAGTGAACTACTGGAGCTGCCAGCATTTTGGTGCACGCTGCATTTTACACAGCGTGTGCACTGACACTCTGTAGATGAGATGCGTCTGAGGGGACAAGGATGGCAGTGATTCTCAAATGAGGGAGGCCTGGAGAGGCTGGGCCCTGGCCCAGGGCCACCTAGTCAGAAGCTGGCCTGGGCTTTTTTTGTACCCAAGAGGATCAGGGTCTGAATTCTTCACACTTAGCTGCCTGCTTTGGTTCAGGCCACGCATTCATGAGCCAGGTCACCAACCTAAGGAACTAAATGCAAACTTCTGGGTATGTGCCTAAATAACTGAAATACAGAAATCATAATAGTAACAATGGTAATATAACTGGTGCCAATTTACTGAACATATACTCTTCACCAAGCCATGAATCAAAGGTGGATTGAACCCATTCTGCTAAAACAAGAGCTGCTCTGGACCAAGGCCGGCATCATTGTGGATGGCAGATCTGTGCAGTGCACAGCACGGGCAGCAGCAGGAAACCACTGCCATACCTGATTCAGAGACTTCTGCAGGTGCGGGGTGCCCATGCGATCAGCCATGTGCCGGTAGGCTGGGTGGGAGAGAAAGAACTTCCTCTCAGCTGCCAATGCTGCACGAATGTCTTTCTTGCCCTCGATGTCCTTCTGGCTGCGGTTCACCACACCAATGTAGCCTGCAGGGAGAGAGGGTCAAGGCCGGGCCACTGACAGGCAAGCCAAGGTGCCCAGGTGCTCACTGCAGCTCAGGTACAGAGCTGAGCAAGGTACAAGTGAGTACGTGGATTCTCTCTTATGAGTCTCTGACATACCAGGTTACAAGCTACATGCATTACTTAGAAGCATCACGAAGAACACAAACACAGTGTGCTGTCCTGAAAAGCCAACACGTGTCTGGAAGGAGAGACTACATCCAGCCTGTGTGAGGGGAGTGGATAGGGACAAGCCTTATAGAAGGTCAAATCAACAAACTGAGCTTTAAAGACAGGTAAGATGCCCTGGCTGATGGGCTCAGTGGATTGAGTTCTGGCCTGCAAACCAAGGGGTTGTCAGCTCCATTCCCAGTCAGGGCACATGCTTGAGTTGCAGGCCAGGTCCCCAGTAGGGGGCACGTGAGAGGCAACCACACACTCATGTTTCTCTCCCTCTCTTCCCCCCTCCTTTTCCCTCTCTAAAAATAAATAAGTAAAATCTTAAATAAATAAATAAAGATAGATAAGGAAAACAAATATCAAAAAGAAGGGCAATTGGGGGACAGCTAATACTGCCAGACAATAAAACCTATTCTAAAGCTGTTACATTGGAAAGGGTTGGGTATACTGGGGCATGTATGTCCACAGAGATGAATGGAATGAATAGAAAGTCCAAAACCATACCCAGCAACCGGGGAACTAATAGCTAACACTTCAAATGCAGTGAAAGGAAAAGTGAACTATTCAATGGTTGCTGTTGGCAAAGCTGGGTACCTACCTAAATTAATCCTCAAGGGATACACAAAATATAAAACTACAGAAGCACTTGAAGACAACATGAGCTAGTTTTAAAAATGAAGGTATTTATATTAAAATTTTCTGAATGAAATCCAAGGAAGAGTTAACTATGAATACATGAGAAATGGGGCTGGGGGAAAAGGGTTGAGAGACAGTCTCCTCAAGGAAAAGCCTTCGGTGCCATTTTGGATTTTTCCCAAGTGTGAGAATTTATTTTTTATAATAAAAATGCTAGCATGAAAAGATTTGCCATATTTGGAAATTAGGACTAGACAGAGAAAAACATAAAGAAGTAGGGAAAAAAGAGAAGCCAGAACAGTTGGGAGCCCAGAGCTTGGACACGAGGCACCAAGCAATACAGATGTACAAATGGGTGTTGTGGGAAATAAAGAACTTAGCCTGGTGGCTGACAAATGGTAGGCACTCAATGAACAGAGGCAGTTATTCGTTGCCATTAATATAATTAAAGCTGGAAAAGTAGACTGGAGATAGGTGGCAAAAGACCTGAAGTGATACAACATACGTATTTATGCCCATTCTCCGGGCAGGGGCGGTCTGGTGCAAAGCTCCTTTTGGAGAGAAGGGGAGTGGCACTGGCCAAGTCTTACGCAGACCCGATTTTCGTCCTCTCCCTGTCTGTCATCATACCCATTTTATGGATGAGGGAACCAAGGCAGGCCAAAGTAGGGTCACTCACAAAGGTCTCAGAAAGGATCAGTAGGAGAATGCAGATCAGAACCCAGATCCACGAGAAGCCCAAGGTCTCTATCATCCCTATCATCGGGAGCAGAAGGAAACAGTGGGGGCAGAATGGAGTGTGGCTTAGGTTTTGGTTCCTCTAAAGGTGCTGCTGGTGAGTCTTTCATAAGCCAAGAAAAAGGATCCCACTGGAGGAATTCCGAAAACTGCGGGGCAAGAGGAGAAAACTGAGAGAGAGCCTGAGGTCTTAAGTTGGAAGGAAGCATGACTGGAGACAGGAAGAGGCACTTCCTTGGAAACAGACAGGAAGACAGAGGAGAGGAGACACAAGAAACAGTTGAGTGGGGAGGAAGGAAGGTGAGGAGGTCAACACATCCAGCCACTCAGACGGCAATGCAGAGCACAGCTAGTGTCCCTCAGAGTCTACGATGGTGGTCCTACATATGCAAGGGAGCAGAGGGTTGGATCGCCAGTGGAGGGTATGGGGACAGATGGGGTCTGCTTTCCTCTTCAGCACTGACCCTTCCTTCCTAAACCTCTGGCACAGATTTGCTCTTCAGCCTCTGAACCTCACAGCCACAAAGGCCTTTGAATTTTGCTCCTGACCGCTATCAATCTAGGGCCGCCTCTCATCAGTGTCTCAGCAGTGCTGGGGGAAAGGGCAAGTCAAGGTCTGAATGTTTCCCCCATGGCTATCCCAGACATCAAGCAAGGAAACCCTGGGAGCAAAAGATAAAACCAAACTGGTATCAGCAAGATGCAAGACCCAGAAGGTGCCCGCTGCTGAGAGCTGATCCCACATGGAAGAAATGGGAAAGGCAGCAGTAATTAATGAAGAAATGGCTTAAAAAAACCAAAGACCTACATGGGGAGTCAACCTGCACCACAGAGGAAAAAAACAGAACCAACCTAAGTGTTCAACAAATGGGGAATGAATAACAATCTGCCCCCACACCCCCATACAAGGGACTCCATGGGACCTTTTGAAGTCATCTTGAACATTCGCCTGTTACGGGGAAATGTTCCGCTATTTAGCTACATGACATGGAAAATCAGGTCACAAAGCATCATGGTGCTAGGGGGCTGGCATTCAAAGCCAGCTCTGCCACTTGCTGGTTGCGTGAGCTGGGGCAAGGGGTTTGGCCTCTTCGTGCCTCAGTGTCTTCATCCGTAAAATAGGGATGAGACTAGAACCACAATGTTGGCTTTTCCCGGAATTAAGTGGGCTCTTATACATCAAGAGCTTAGAACAATGCCTAGTACATAACAGACACTTAATGTTTGTTACTCATTCTTTGGAAATAAAAATACTTGGGTTACTCCTATAAGAAGATCTAAACCTACAACTGAGCCTAATCAGGCCTCTGTCGAGATCTAATTACCAGTTTACAGGGCACTACCACTGGCCAGATCCTGAGTGTGGGCTGTGATCTGGTTTCTTTCACAAGTGAATGTCAGAGGAAAAAAACAAAGGGGCTGGGAGAGGGAGCTGTTCAAACAAAAACTGAGATACTTATGTGTAAAATGATATGATGCCCAGGATTTGCTTTATAATCCCCCAGGAAGAAAATGACAACGGGGGCGAGGACATGTGGGAGATTCAAGATTAGCTGTGTGGCAGTAACCATCAAGGCTGGGTCCACTCTACTTTCAAGAATGTGACAGAAATGTTTGTAAAAGTATGAAAATTAATAAAAGTTACAAATTCTTAGGAACTTTTTGGAAGTAGAGCCACAAAGTATGAACTAGTGGCTCTGGAGGAATTAGGCTGGGGGTGATTTTGGTTTCTTCTTTCTATATACAGTTGACCCTTGAACAATGCAGGGGGCTAGGGGCGCCTACCTCCAGTGCAGCTGAAGCCCACATATAACTACAGCCAGCGCTCCACATACGTGGATTCCCAGCAGGAACTGACCCTTGAACATGGGTTTAAACTGTGCGGGTCAGTGTAAAAAATCCATATATACTGAACATGTGCAGTTCAACTGTATTTGTTTTCTCATGTTGTCTGTATAGGTGGGTGTTAACTGTGTAATTGAAAAATGTATACAAACAGAAAGCAGTGACTTCTGGACAGTGGGGAAATGTATCTGGGAGCATTTGCTGAGGTTTCGGTAATGAGAACGACAAAAACAAATTTTGTTTTAAAAAAGCAGGGGTGCACCAGCTCTTCTGCTCCACCCCACCTATCTTTCCTGCCCTCCCCGTGGCCCCCCAGGTCTGCCCTTCCAGGCTCTATGGCCTCCCAATGCCCCACCCCATAGCCCTCAGCTCCCCACCCAGCCATACCTCTTCTCAAGGGGAGCAGCTTGTTCTCCAGGACATCCCTGGCATCGGTGCCCTCGTCCATCAGGTCGAGTTTCGTGATGACACCAATGGTCCGCAGGCCTGAAAGAGCCCAGAGGTCAAGGGCACTAACAGGAAGAAACCTCAGGCCACCACGGGTCCAACTGACTCTCCACCCTGACTGCCGTATTACCTGGGACAAGCTACAATGTCACCTAGCTGGACTTAGTTTCCCTCATGCCACATGAAGACAGCAATAGCACCAGTCTCAGGGGGTCGATCATAAGAATAAATCTGATGCATGGCAAATGTTCAGTCAATAAACACTGGCTTCCATCATCATCATCATTTGTATGACCAGTGACCTCGTCCTGCTGCTGCAGGGTCCAAGTAAACCCCACTGCACTCCCAGGGCAGAGGTTCTATGCTGTGCTCTCCGTGTGCAAAGCCCCAACACAATACCAAACCAGGGCTACTGTTTCTGGAGCACCTTTCACCTGAATGGCCAGAATTCTACTCTGGATGCCACCCACAGAATTCTGCCCCTCCCTGGTCACTCAGAATCAAGAGGAACCTCCTAGCAAAGCCTGGAACCTGCAGATGAACCTCCAGTGGCAGAGCCTGAGGGCCGGCTGTGTGCCAACCACATGTTACATACAAGTGTATGACACTCAGGGCACAAAGGGAGGCCCAGGGAGATCTCCAGTGGACACCAAGGCAGGCATCGAGAGGGCAACAGCATGACTGCGAGTTGGCATCCTCAGAGGGCAAAGGGACTGCGGCTACAGAACTGCACAAAGCTCATGCCTGGTTCGGAGCAGAGAAGCGGAGCAAAGTAGAGAGACATGAAGGGGCAGGGGACCAGGGGACACCAACTCTTTTGAAAACATCAAATGTCGCTGAGCCACTGTTTATTAAAGACCTAAAACAGCCTGCTGTTAAAGAACAAAGAAAAGGCAACAACGGGGTGCCTGTGGATGGCTATGTATGCACAGCCCTACGGTAGTAAGGAAACACACACATCACAGAAAAATAAGTAAATATCATCCCATTTTAAAAATGTGAGTTTACGAGGAAAACAAACTCCGAAAGGATATCTACCAAATGTGGCTACCAGTATCTCTGCAAGGGAAGAGAAGCTGTCATGCTTTTTAGGTTTTTACAATGGTGGCATTTTGTGATTAAAAATTATGAATACTTTCAAAGGCAGAAAAATACCTCTTTTAAGGCAGGATACCAGCAACAAGTTTACAAACAGTGCTTCACTGTATTCATTCAGATTTTCTCACCACCTGATCAAGCCTCTGCAACATCTTTGTCACAGTTGCACCCCATTTTTTGTGGGAGCAGATTTGGGAGACAAGCATGCTGTGGGGACCCTGGGGAGGGGCAGCCGCTCCTGGAAAAGCACACATTGAATGACCTTGAGGAGGAGCTAGAACAGCCTAACCCCCACGGGACAAAGATGCTCAGCACACAGCCCTGGACTTTGAGGGCCCAGTAGTCCAGGGTGGGAAAGGGCTGTCGGTAGCCAAACACCCCCCAACTCAGGGCTAGAAACTGGGGAGCGCAAGCCATAAACCTGTCACCCCCAACTCGTTGCTGGCCCCCGACTCCCTCCAAAGCACTATCGAATCATGCAGTTAGAGGGCATTTTGCAAAATATATTTCAGTGTGTCACACTCCACTAAACCTCCAACACTCTAAAAAAACCCCAGATTCTCATCGCTGCCCACGAGGTCCTGCTCAACTAGCTCTGGCCCCAGCCCTGCCCTCACTTCCCCTGTCCTCCCTTTAGCTGTCTCTGCTTCAGCCACACTAGCCTCCTCGATGTGTCTTGGGCAACCCAGGCTCAAATTAAACCCATCCTATTTAGTATCTACTGTCTATTTTCCCGGATTTTTGCCTCTTTTTATTATTCTGGTCTTGCCTAAAATTTCACATCTTCACAGGCTCCTGATCCTTTCCCATCCCAGCCACTCTCAAAAGGTCCTATTTTCTTCCAGTGCTTACATCTACCAGAAATTATTCTACTTGCTTATGTCCTTGCTGGACTCTATCACCCCCATCAGAATACCAGCTCCCTGGGGGCAGGGACCCTGTCAATTTTGTCCCCTGCAAGGTTCCCGACGCCAAAACAGAGCCTTTTTGCATATAGCAACTGGTCACCTGTGGCTCTTTTTATTTTCTTACTGAATAAATGGCCACTGGAAAAGTCTGACCTGCAATGCCTTTAGCCAGAGATGCCACAGTCTCCCACTAGTACTGAGGGCCCAAATTTACTTCATTAACTCATTCTTTCACCTCCCCTGCCTGGCCCCTGAGAAGCTATGGGGACATCTCCAGTCCTCTCAGCAATTCTGCAGTCTGGACTGCTGCTTCCATTTGGACAGAAAGGGGACCAAGCCTCAGGAGAATAAGGAACTTTTAGAGATGGGATTTGGACTTGCATCTGTGCCCTGGGAGGACTGGACTCTTCCCACTCCCCTAATTGGCTTTCAGCACAGGCGAAGTGGGGACCATCATGTACGAGCAATGCCCAACTGCCACACAATGGCCTCCTTGGGGACGCCCTCCAGCAGTGCTGGTCCTCATGGGAAATCTATGTTCTATCAGACCTTTTCCTAGGGAGCCCATGTACCCAGGAGAACACGAGGGACTTGGAATCAAGGTTGTCTGGCAAGTCGCAGTGCTTGAAGGTACCTGGAAGAGGAAGATGCTACTGTGGGATCTGGTGGTTACCTTGGGGGTCAACCTCCTTGGCCAGCTTGAGGGCATCCGAGTTGGCCAAGTCCATGTTGGCAGGGGTGACAGCGAGGATGAGGGTGCTCTCTCGGCTGATGAACTGCAAAATCATTTCCTTGATCTGGTACTCGATGTCTGGGGGCTGGTCTCCTACTGGAACCTTGGTGATGCCCGGGAGGTCAATGAGGGTCAGGTTCAACACTGGGAAGGAAACCAAAGGGCAAAATCATCAGAGCCGGGGAAGGGGAGGCATACATAGCCCCATTCAGCCACTTAGCCCATTTCCCCAAGTGCCAGAGGGTCATGCCTCAGGAGTCCTCCTGCTGCTCCAACTGGGTCACACTTTTTTTTTTAATTAAATTTTTTAATCCTCACCCCAGGACATTTTTTCATTGTTTTTAGAGAAAAAGGAAGGGAGAGAAGTAGAGAGAGAGAGAGAGAGAGAGATGTTGGTATGCAAGAGAAACATCACCTGGTTGCCTCTCATATGTGCCTGGACCAGGGATTGATCTGCAACCTAGGTATGTGCCCTGCCCGGGAATCAAAACTACAACCTTTCAGCTGTGGGACGATGTGCTAACCAATGAAGCCACACCAGCCAGGGCCGGGTGATACCTTTTAATCCAGTAAATCCCCTTCTAGAATTCTATCCTAAAGACACTATCTGCCCTGGCTGGTGTAGCTCAGTGGATTGAGCACGGGCCTGCGAACCAGAGTATAGCGGTTCGATTCCCAGTCAGGGCACATGCCTGGGTTGCAGGCCAGTTCCCAGCAGGGGATGCATGAGAGGCAACCATACATTGATATTTCTCTCCCCCTCTCCTTCCCTTCCCCTCTAAAGATAAATAAATAAAATCTTTAAAAAGGAAACATACTTAAAAAAAAAAAGACACTATCTACTCTATTTCAGTGATACGGTTTCTAATGAGGTCATCTCTCTCTGCAGAACATAATTGCTTTAAATGGCTAAATAAATTTCAACCCAAAGATTCAGCCAATACCAAGGAACCGTTAAAAACAAAGAGATAGTACTCTGAAAAGAAACACACTCTGAGATGCTTTCACACACAAAGAGAGAGGCATAAATGATTTTTATATGATGCTACAATTTGAGTAAATATATATGTATATGTTCATATAAATACATACACATATAAATGTTAACAAATGCTTATATATGCATTATAATTTATAAAGAACATAAAATGTATTTGTAATATTGGGGGCCAGGGTGGATTTTTGCTGCATATTCTTTTGTAATTTTTTAATATGAGCCATCTACAGGCATAATTGATTCAAAACTAAATTTTAGAACTATCACAAGGATCTCACACCAACGAGTTAGCGTCTGCTGGAATACTTCCCACATGGTGTCTGAATTAGCAATCTGTGCTCTGGGCCAGAGGCTGCACATGACCGCAGGCTGCTCTGTTTAAATGATGCAGAGTCTCAAAATCAGGACATTGTGCAAAGAAGTCTTTCTAGATCCTCCTGAGAAGCTGAAAGACCTGGCTGCATCAGGCTGGTTTCACTTGTCACCATATGGGCCACCATCACCTGGGAGCCAAGTGATGTTTGTCCTTTTAAAAGGAACATAAAAAATTGGCAATTACAAAATAGTCATGGGGATGCAAAGTACAGAATAGGGAATATAGTCAATAACATTGTCATAACTATGCGTGGTGTTAGGTGGATACTAAACTTTCAGCAGAATCACCTAGGTCATATAAATGTCTAACCACCATGCTGTACACCTGAAACTAACAGAATACTAAATGTCAATTAGTATGTCTTATAATTAAAAAGATACATGAATATAGGGACCATACAGCTACAATTTGCCCCAGTCCCTACCACTCCTGACAGTCTTCCTAGCAGCTGTTTTTCTTGGAGCTCAGATCCATTTCTCGGTACCAGCTTCCTTTCAGGAGTGGGAAACTACAGATCAAGAGGGTTGGGTGTACATGAAGAAAATGAGGGGATATATTTTTCACGATAATAAGGCCGACTTGACCCGTGACCAGCAGAGTCAGCTTTCCTCTGCCCCCGAGACAGGTACATGCTCATGCTGCCTACCGTGAGGCGAGTAGACCCGCAAGTTGATGGGCACTGGGGAGATGCCTTTGTTGGTCCCCGTGACCCTGTCAGTCTCTGCTTCAATCTCCTGTCGTACTTCTTCAAAGTCTGTAAACTTTTTGGACTTGCAGTGCAAAAACTCGGCATATTCTGCAAAGGAAAGAAAAGATGCTCAAAATGAGAAAAAGAAGTTTTGGAGTGGGTAGGGAACAAACAGCCCAGCACCTGTGGGACAGGTGCTTTGGAAGCAGAGAAAATGAAGAATCAGCCATGGTTGCTCTAGGAATACGGGGAGCAACTGGCAAAGATCCCACACCCACGGAACAGACATTCTCATGAAGCATTTTGCAAAAGTACACATTGTGACATATGAGTCAAAGCAAAAAAAAAAAAAAAATCAACAGGTGGATGTGACCAGTATTTATTCTTCTTTGATGAACAGAATAAAAGAGGAAATACGGGCCTGTCACCCAAACTGGGTTTTATACATTTGATGAAACTTCTGCTGTGGTGTCATACATGCAGCTGAGTCCTGGGTGGTAATGTACAACCTCCCTGGCTGTGGTCACAGTCAAAAGAGACGCCAGCTGCTGTCCCAGTGGGATCCCGAGACGCCAGCTGCTGTCCCAGTGGGATCCCGAGCCACCAGCATTGCCACCTGGCACATATCCCTGGAACCCATTTGCTCCCAAGACACACATCGTGGGGAATAGGGCACCACTGCCAGACTCGCCAAAGCCTGTCTCGATGTCCCTCCACCCCTCCTGGCTATTCAAGGGGTCCCCCACCTGGAAATGAACCCCTCCGGTAGAAACACTTTCTGGGAAGGGCTCTGAGTAGATGTAAGAGGCCTCTGCATGCCTTCTGAGACCAAGGTGTCTGACTGCCACACTGACAGAAAGGTAGAGGGAAACAAGTAAGTAACAAGGCAGAGCTGCTCCTGTCACCGGACAGGGGTCTGGCCTATGCGGGTCTGCTGAGGGCCAGCTGTCGTGTGTGGGTTCTTGGCTTCATGTAGGAAGGATTTCACAACACAAGTCCGGGTGAATATGAGGATACATTTATTAAAGCTGGGAATGGCAAAACAAGGAAGGGCTCAGCATAGAGGCAATAAAAGGGCTTGGCTGCTTTAGCTCACTGGTAAGTCAGAGAAAAGGGGGCCCTGAGAACAGGTTCAGGGGACCAGCTGGGACAAGCTACCAGCTGCCCACTGCCTTACAGTTTAGGAGACATGTGCCTATAAAGTGGGGGAAGAAGAAGGGAACGGCAAGGACTTCTCCCCAGAGGGAGAACACGCATGCTGGGTCCTTTTGTGTTGAGGCTTTTATCTCTTGCAGGCAGGAGCTTAGAGGAGGTCTCAGGGGAGGGTTTCAACAGAATGTTCATCAGTTCTCCAGGTGCGCCCTTTCAGGGTCATGGTGTCCACTGATTAGTCAGGGCCAGGCCAGAGGGTCTTTAGTCACTGCAGGTAGTTCTGGCATAGCCCACCTGGTTTTGCTGCTTTTCTGGGCCTAGAGCTGAAACACGATTGAGGCCTAGATGTTATCTCCAGGAAGGAAAGGCCAGGGGTGAAGAGGTTACCCTGGGGATGAGGTCCTTGTTCTTCCAGTTTTGCCCCCTGCCAGACACTCTGCCCTGGTGACCTTCTGTACCTGGCTATAAATTGCTAGGCCACTGTGTTCAGTTCTCTGCTTCAGTTTCCCTATCTCACATGCCAAGAAATTCTACCTTCTTACTATCCTGCCTCAGTCCTATCACCAAGCAAGAGAAATCCAAAGCACAGATATGGGATAAAGTAAGAATAAAAAATGTTCACTGCAGGATGCAGGTGCTGAGGTTACATGTGTTTACTATGTAATTTCTCAACTTTTTTTCATATTTGAATTTTCATAGTAAATTCTGGGAAGGAGGCTCAAAATCATAGTTCCTGCAGTAATGCTAAAAACAGTGAATGAGTCATGTGACAAACAGTTTAAAGAAGCAGACCACTGCAGAAATGCAAAAAATGTGTACTGAAAAACTGGAAATCACCTCTATGTCCACCAGGAGGAGATGTGGCTATACAAACCACAGCACAGACATACCATCAGCTGCCTCAAAAGAAAGGGTGGAGATGGAGACAGAGAAAGGCCAGCAGGTCTAGAATCTCTACCAACAAGTGTAATGAGACAGAAAGACGTAAGTTCAAAGAGGTCTGCCTTCCCATCACAGCAACCTAACAAACTATGGCCACACTCGGCCCATGCACGCTCTGGCCAGGCCCAGAGTGTGGTCCCGTTGCTCCTCCTGGGTGAGCATCTCGGCAGGTAGGCATCTTTGTGAAGCCTGCACCACAGATAAGGAAACTGAGGCCCAGAGAGGTGAAGTGACTTGGTCCAAGCTCAGTGGCAGAGCTGGGATGTGGAGTTCAGATAATCTGTCTCCAGGCAGTGGCTCTCAAGTCAAGTTCTTTATCTCTCTGAAGCTCTGCAATCAGGGTCTGGGGGACTTCATGGCTCAGGTCACTGAGGACTTCGTCCAGCATGGGCACTGTCCGCTCGGATGCAGGGGTAACAAGGGCAACGAGGACACTGGCTGGAGGATCCAGGATCACCCACCCCACCCCATCAGCTGACCTGGTTCCCCAAAACAGTCATGTTCCAGCTCTCCATAGGGAGGAGACATTATACTCGGCTGTTCTTCCTGCAGCAGCTACCCTAAAATGAAATGGCTCTCTAACCCCCACAGCAAACCTCAGTTCCTTTCCAGCTTAAGGCCCTGGGCTGAGCACCTGCAATAGACCATCTTCCTTCCAGGGCGAATGCAGGGGGATACAGGATGAGAAAAGGTATGGGCCCAGGACATGGGCCCTCTCCCCTGCAGACCTCTGCCCCGCCAGGCCTAGTGTGTAGGAGGCCTGGCCCCATCTCCTCCTCTTCCAGGGCCTACCTGCCTGTCACTTCTTTCAGGGATCCTTCCCTGACTCCATGCCACCTGGCACTCCATCCTGCATCTTGGGTCTCTTCTGTGTCAGAGCCAGCTCATTGAAAAATCATGTTTATGGGACCAGGACCTGCCGGCTGTGTCTGCCAGAGCCCAGCATGTGCTGGCAGTCTCCCATCTGTGTGGGTGTAGGTCACGCAGGAGACTGGGCTGCGGAGCCTGGTGTCACCCCAGCATATCACTGGGCAACGGGAAGGTTCAGGAGCCAGCCAGGACCGTCCCTCACCACCTGCCTTCTTTACTGGGCTCCTTGTTACTCTGGAACCATGAGTTACATTCCAGGGTCATTCCAACATTAAAAAGCTTCTGTCAGCCCCGACCTATGTGGCTCAGTTGGTTTGGTGTCATCTCACAAAGTGAAAGGTTGCTGATTCAATCCCGGGTCAGGGAACATGCCTGGGCTGAAGGTTCAGTCCCCCTTTGGAGTGCATAGAAGCAGCAGCTGATCAATGTTTCTCTCTCACACTGATGTTTCTCTCCCTCTCTTTTGCCCTCCCTTCCCACCTCTCTAAAAATCTTTTTTTTTAAAGTATTTATTTATTTATTTATCTTTAGAAGGGAAGGGAAGGAGAGAGGGAGAGAAACATCAATGTATGGTTGCCTCTCATGTGTCCCCTGCTGGGAACTGGCCTGCAGAGAACTGGCTTGCAACCCAGGCATGTGCCCTGACTGGGAATTGAACCGCAATCCTCTGGTTCGCAGGCCTGCACTCAATCCACTGAGCTACACCAGCCAGGGCTTAAAAATCTTTTTTTTAAAAGATTTTATTTATTTATTTTTAGAATGAGAAGAGAGGGTGAAAGAGAGGGAGAGAAACATCAGTGTGTGGTTGCCTCTCATGCACCCTCAAGTGGAGACCTGGCCTGCAACCAGGGCATGTGCTCTGACTGGGAATCGAACCTTCAACCCTTTGGTTTGTAGGCTGGCACTCAGTCCACTGAGCCACACTAGCCAGGCAAATGAAATCTTTAAGAAAAAGGAAAAAAAAAACCCTTCCACCAAGCCTGCTTCCTCCCATAGCAGTGACTCTGTTAAAGCCGAACCTCAGCCTTCCTCTCCTCTGAGCAAACGCCAGAGTCTACCACATCCTACAAGGCCCTACAAAATTTCCTTCTCCCCCAGTTCCTGACCTCGCCTCACTCCCTCTCCAGTCACGCTGGCTTCCCCGCTCACGACTTGCGGCCTGCTCCTGCCTTAGGAGTCTTTGTCTGCAGGGACCCTCACAGCTCCCTCCCTGGCCTCATTCAGGGGCTACCTTCTCTGTGAGGCCTGCCCTGGCCCCCACCTGAGACAACAGACCTCCGCGTTCTCTTTCCCCCTTCAGTGCCTTACCACCCTACAAGTACCCTAATATCGTTTACTTTCACATCCTGTGTATTTTCTCTGGTTCCCAGCTGGAAGGCCAACCCCGTGAGACAAGGATCTGAATCTGTGTTACGCACTCTGTGTTCCCAAGGTTCCCTCTGGGCACACAGTAGGTGCTCGATAATCATAGGCATGACTGAATGGCTGCCAAAATATGGCCCCTGCTTCAGCTTCTTCAAGGTGGCCCAGCACCCCCAAAGCCACCCAGTTGGATATATGAAAGTGTGGACAGGGCAGGGTCTAGACAGCTGGCCTCTGGTCTTCTTCCCCCTCCCTCCTCCCCAAAGCATGACTTGAGGACATAGGGCCAGCCCTGAGCCAGCCTCCTGGTCTGATGGGGAAGACAGACACTGCATAAGCATGTCGCAGAAGCAGGTCTGACAGAGTCAACATACTAGGAACTGGGAGAGATGACCTGCCTGACTCCAACCCGTCCATGGCAAGATGATGGAGGCAGCTGAGGGCAGCGGTAGGCAGACAGCCTGTGCCTGTGCCATCTCTCTGAAGTGGCAACCTTTCCCCAAACCCAGAGGATGCTCTGGACCTAGGGTAGACTACAAGGGAGGGAGGGGCCTGGCTATTGGCCAGGCTCACTCTGTACCTTAGTTTCCCCATGAGGAAAATAAAAACAGGGGAAGGAAACAAGAGAGATCAGCCTGGACCTCCACAGCCTTATATGTGTTTGAATGCTGAAAATGATTTAACCACCCACGATCTCAGTAAGTCAAAGGCCTTGGGACTGAGCTCATAGACTGTGACACCTGAACAGCTCCCTCTCAACTTGTCCCCAGGAGCTGAGGCTG